AATAATAATTGTTTGTCATTATTCATCAATTCATCAACAAGTTTTATTTTTCCTAGGAGACCGTGTTTTGACAAACGTAAAACATTTACCTTGGGAGACCCATGCTACACAGCAATACTAATCTGAAAAGTTTGACAAGCCCCGACGGTTGCTTCCGAGGAGGACCAAGATGAAAAAGATCTCAACTTCCCAGCCGGATTTAGAAAGGAATGTGGTTAGTGTGTTCGAACTTAGATGCGATAATTGAGATAACAGAAACCGTGTTTTCCTTAGAATATATATGTGTTTGCTTTGTCCTTAACGAAATGATGCGTGTAAAACATAAGTAACTATCTTGAGCCTCTGTTTTCTCAAATAATCCTCGCTCGTCACAAGGAGGCCCGGAGATCCAACTAATGAACTTACCAGGAGGAGGTGGTGTGGTTGGACCGGGTGGGTCTGGGATTCCTTCTTCACATGACCCCACGGTTAAGGAGAAATCATCAATGGCAATGTCTCCTTGCCAGCCACTTCCACGGATCCCTTCGAAAACGATCTGAAAAGTTTTAAAGAAATCCATTTTGTCATTTTTCCTTAGAAAATTTGTTACGCCAAACTGCACTGTTTTTCTTTTTTATTGAATACTCAACGCACTGTGGCCGGGATAAATCAAACACATGCGCAAAATGAGGAAAAATTAAAAGAATCCTGTCCTGAACTGATATAATGTTTCTATTTACATTCATAACCTGCTCGCTCAGTATGATCCATCAACCCAAGTCATGCGCAATGGCTGGTGTCTTTTATGCAACCATAAGAAATCATTGCTTTCTCTTGATGTAAACTGGAACTAGTTAGCGCAAACTTACGTTTCCTCCTCCATTTATCGACACTTGAGCTTTCTTCCATTCATTTCCCTGGTTACCAGCCTTGGCGAAAACCTTTGAACTTCCGAGGTACACGTTCAGTTGATTGACATTATCACCGTACATATGATAATAGAAAGCAAGACAGGCTGAGCCACCGGAATATCCACTAAAATTGATTATTGCTTTTTCATTGGCTTTTCGTGGATGAGATGTCTCGATATAAATGTACTTCCCTTAAAAGCCGAAAAAAAAACCAGTAATCGATCAGATGTTCTCAAAAGCTAAGGCTTCATATCTTCTCTCGATAAAACCTATTTAAATCTAGACAGAAAAGAGAAGATGGGAGAATTTTGAGCTTGAGATGAAGCAAATAACGTTATCTTTCATTCTGTCCGCGAGATTGAAAGATGTCACCTTCTCATTAAAGTTACTCACTTGGTAGTTTTTACATTGTTGATCGTAGCCGTATGCCGACGAGCTCAGGATCTAGTTTACGGTAGCTCCTTAATAGGGTAAAGTGAGGCGAGTCGGGAGAGCTTGAGCTATCTCCAAAAGTATAAACAGCAAGAATAAACTTAGAAGCATAGAAATAGATCATCAATAGATCCGCGGGACATACCTGAACCAGAATGATCCGCAGAAGGTCCTGTCCCTCGCGATGGAGTTGAGCCACTATAAACCCTCCAATCAAATTGATCTGATGTTGATTGGGTCCATCCAGTGCAGAGTCCGTTGTCAAAGTTGCAATTTGAGCCTTAAACCGAGTAGCGAATATTTGAAGTGTGGTAAAGTAAGTCAAGAAATTTCCGGTGTCCCGGTTTTTTTTTCTAAGGAATCGAAAGGTTACTTAAATGCAAAGTTTTTAGAGTTGGATTTGTACTGACATGGGTATTATGCTTTACTATTAAATTTAACTGAGTGATTTCAACTCCCTGATTGATTAATTACACATTTCGTCGTCACAATCATGATTTTAATTTTGGACTTAGCGACCGCAAAGTATACATTACTTTTAATCATAAAAGATAGCTTCAGTCATCGTTTCGTTTTGATAAGGAACTCTGTTGCGCGATGATTCCTTCCAGGCAATGAGCTTTATTTTCTACATCGGTATCATAGATTCTAAAGCTGATACGCAATTTAAAAGCCGGGAACATTTATAAAGCATATTACCTGAGGGTTTGACAGGAGCTAGAATGGAATAAAGATAACACTGAGTTTGATTAAATGTTATTCAGTTACTCATATAAATTATTTAACTTACGACTGACAAAAAATTGAAAAAAATATATTTTGAGGTAGATTTATGCGTTGACCATGAAATCTTAAACCGAAAAATCTATTAGTGAACAAACGTTGGTGAACAATTTGTTGATAGGCAAAATTTGAAATCTTAGCTGAGCAATATCGATTAAGAGGCGCTCATGGGAGGGGACCCCTAACTTTCAAAGGTTAGAAACAAGCCGTTTTGACGGATGTTAGGCCATTTGACGGTAGAAGCTTACTTTATCAGAACAACAGCTAACATCATATCATTGCAATTTAATTTTGGGCATGATTCACCATATCTTTTGTCTGGTTTCAAAATACCCACTATCTATTAGGAGATTTTGCTATCTAACATTGACCAACCTTATGGACGGTTGAAGATTAAGATCCTGCTTTGACAAATAACAGTTGTCTACACTGGGATATTTTGATAATAATAATGGTGCCTATAACAATAATGACAACAATGACAAATATAACAGCAATGTCATGGGTTCCAAACCTGACTGACAGAAGTAACGTCGGCTCATTTGTTTCGCATCGATCGGACTCAGTCCCTTGCGTTGGCCAATGGTCGCCTAAAATGAAATAATCAGTAGTAACTACTTTACTGGTGAGGTGTAGGAACAATTGCTCGCGAACAATCGGAATCCCAACTAAAACCGGATAAAATTCCATAGTATCCTCCAAGTTATGTTTAGAAATTTTGAAACTTAACGTAAAATGTGATAATTCTTGCAGAACAAGAGGCGAGTTTGTATTCGCCATGAAGTTCTTTGATTGTTTTCCTATAATCTTGTGCATGCTAGACCTTACGTGATTTGTGAAGATTTTCTAAACAGTAATTTTCGGGATTCTTTCACATAATGCTCACCTTTAAACTTTCCTTTAAATGCGTTCTTTTTGTTATACGTTTTCTCTTGTTCTAGGTACCTTTCATAAGGTTCATGTATGTACGTACGTATGTATAACTCACCTGCTATATATACAAAGCCTCGTCTGTTTACAACTTACCCCATTGGCCACCGCTATTGTTGGCTTTCCGTTCTTTGAAAATGCCCTAGATGAGTAATGCATGATAGATCCATAATCATAAGGAGTTTGATGAGAGTCAATAATACTGGTGCTGTACTTCTTGAAGTTGTGTTTGTTAGCTGAAACCGAAAAAAAAACAACTAAACGTCGTTTTATTCATCACGTTTCCAATGTAAAAAAGAATATCTCCTTCGACTAAACCACATTTAAATTTGGAGACAGACGTGACTGTTCCAAAAAAAGGTTTTAACTCTTCGCCATACTTTCTCTCCAAAGCCTACAGTTCCTCCAAATAGGAGAGTGCTTTGTTCATTGAAGAAACAACTCAGTTCTAGATCCAATATGTTCATTGTGGCCTCTGACGTGGGATATTTTGTGTCACTTCATCATGATAGTCAAGACATGACTCTCTCTCAAAAATAGTAACGAACTCCTTACAGATATCGAGCTAATTTTCCCGGTTCCCGTGAGGAGTGCACGAGAACTCATTGACTGGGAATGGGTTAACGTCATGAAACCATTGCATATGATTCACACACATCGTGAAACTGGACGAATGAGGAAGATATGCACGATGGCTTAGTGTCAGTCTTAATTCATCATCGACTCAAATACCTACCCTCTCTGATGTTTTCCCACAAAATGGTCACGTGTTGGTCTCGATCAGGGCGAGACTGTTCATGATAAAAGCCAAGTGCATGACCTAAAATAAAAAAAAACAACATCAACGACAATAACAGCAACGGTTAAAATTATCTTGGAAATGCTTTTTAGTTGTTGTGGCAGATGTTCAGTTGCCATGATCGGTGATCAAACATTATTTTGTGGTGGCTTTTATAAACTACTTCAGAGACATTACACACAAATAACTTTTCGTTCCTAGATGCATTCAACCCCGAAAATGGGAAACAGTCTCTCCTCATCACCTCACTGTCGTAATGGCGTTTTTATGTATGATAGGTCGAAAATATGTAGGAAAACAGGAGAACAGTTGATTCAAGAGGAGGAAGAGAAAGGTAGAATGACACTGGAGCATCACATCAATCACTATTCATCTTTTACGTCAAATAAGTGATTTTTTTCCTTGCCAACGTGTTAATTTGAGTTGCACCTATTTCATGGATCACAATGCCGTGATACCAACATCCACTGGCCAATGACAATTGTTGCTTCCTGCCGGTTCTTCCAACATAGGACCAACACCTAATAATTGCAAGTTCGTATTATTTATAGCATTAAGAAGAAATATTAAATAATAACTAACAATTATGATAAGCTACATTTGAGCAGATGATTGTATAAATTTGTCAAAAAGATTCTAATGGCCTTTAGATTGACTATGAAAGGATCGGTCGTAATTTTTTTGTCTGAGGGGTGGGTGGGGAGAAAGATTTGGGGGGCAATCACATAGTTTTCAGGGGGAACAGAGTAGGGAGGAACTTTAAGTTCTCGCCAACATAATACAAAGGTGGATAATAGAAGACAGACTGCCAATTAACTTGCAATGAAGAGGAATAGAGGACCTTAGGGAGGGGGGACTAAGTAAAATTTTTTGTGACACAGCCAAACTCATGTAAACCTCCCCCCTGCCCATTCCCCTCCCCCATCCCCAGACAATAAGTAATGACCGGTCATAAATTATTTTTTCCTTTCTTTCAGAAAATAATTAATGCATCTTAGAAGAAAGTTCGAAAAAAGTACGAAGATAGAAACCAAACAGAAAATGTTTCATCATCTTATATTCTTACCCGGAACCTTTAAAGAATGAGACGTAAGCGGTCTCTGTGGTTCTTTTCTTAAAGCGTACGCAAGTTTTCTGCTCCCACTCGCGCATTGCACTCTGGATAACGGCCATCGCCCTCGACTGCGAACCTTAGAAGTCGAAAACAAATAAACCCTCTGAAAGTAAATTTTGACTTTTTATATTGAAATGCGTATAGATTTTTCTTTGTAATTTTATCTATTTCTCCAGTCAAAAATGACTTACTCAGAGAAGGATCAATTTCGTATGCCAGCTCAGCGCCAGGCCATTTTCCAGTTTTAATTGATCCTCTGACCTCGCCACTCTCGATCATTAGTGCTTGATCAATCGTTAGTCTCATGTCTCCTTCATACAGACCAGCATCTCGTCCGAGGAGCTCGATATTTTCTGCAAAAAGGAAACGAGCAGACACGCAATCATCCAAAAGTTCTTTCTTAAGTAATCAATGAGATATCCTATCGATTGCCAAGCTACATTGGAAGGTTTTTAAAAGGAAGGTCTTATTTACTTTGATCACGGAATAAACAAATTTTAGGCTCTGAAATAAAAAACCCAATGTGATAGCAGTTGTAACTGCCATTGTAAGTAAGTGAACATTTACAATGTTAAGCGCGCCGCCCTTACCACTACACAGTTCAGAGTTTAATGACTATTATTGTTTTTCGTTTGAAGTATGGTTGACACAGGTATTTTGCAGCTCCGCATGTGATTTTATTTCGGGTTTTATCAATCCGTCTTAGTAATCTGGGGCTGAAACTGTATATGGTGCGATAAAACTACGAACAGTTAAGAGACTTTGATAAAGAAACTATTGACATCCACCCCTTCCTGACTTTTGTTCTCATTAGTTTAAGAAATTGCTTGAAAAACATCAATTATGAAAGGAAACGTTTTGTAGAACCGTTGTCGAAAGACGTAAATGAGTACCGATGGTAGAAAAAACGTTACTATTTCAGCGGCTGCTTACAAGAAATGTGCTTATAAGAGTTGACGTAAATATTTCTACAGTTAGAAAAAAAAATATGTACTTGCCATCTGGATTTTGGGCAAAGGCGCCCATTAACAGGCCACAAAACACTATCAGTCCTTTCATTTTGAACTTCTTGTCGTTTAAGATGATTTTCTTTGAGAGAGAGAGATGGTAACAGTCTTATATACGTTTATAAGTTTTCAGTTTTCTTGAAACACCTTTGCAACTGTTCAAACCTTAGTTTTGACGAGAAGCGCGTTTTAGAGGGATCGAAATGATATGGTTTAATTGTCAGAAAGACCGTATTAAATGCGATAATATCACATAAAACATTCGCTATGATATTTCATTTGCGGTGAAAACAAGTTTGATGATTTTTTGAGCGGATGTTTAAACAGCTACCAAGTCTTTCAATTAGTTGTGAAACCATATCCTGTTCAATACATCCTCAATTATTCTAAACGAATAGAACTCGGAACGTTGAAAGATTGTTAATCGCAAGAAAGCGTGCGCGCAATAAAATTTCAAAAACACTCGAAAAGACAGCTGAAATGACTGAATATTTGACAAGCAATAACATAGATTCAAATGTAAAAATAAAGAGGAAAACGGTAAAATTGGATGCATAAGCTAGTTAAAAAACGTGCTGGTCAACAATTCTGCAAGGCTCAGAAGAGGGGCAAAAACCTTATTAAAAATTGAGAAACGAAAGGTCATGGAAAATATGTCTACATAGAAACCAAAATTACAAGTTTAACCTTCGGCAATTCTTGCTGAAAAAAGAAATATATAATTGGGGTAATTTTCTTAAAAGAAACTGTGGTGTTGCGTCCGTGAGAGATTATAGCAGGTAATTTAGTGTTAACAACTGAGTTGACGAAGGGCTAACGCTCGAAACGTCAGCCTTTAAACTCTTTACGGTGGCCAATTTACGTTTTCAACTTAGTTGTTAACGTCAGAGCGATTGACAAAGGGCTAACGCTCGAAACGCCAGTCTTTAAACTCTTTACGGTGGCCAATTTACGTTTTCAACTCAGTTGTTGACAATAAATTACTTGCTGAAAAAATCTTCCAACACTCTTCTTTTGTTCTTGCCAAAGGAAATTGCAGAATTTTTGCGGTAAACCCTTTCTTTTTCTTTAATTTGTACAGCATACAAAAGTAAACGTTTATCTTGTCCTAGTCACAAAAGTTGAATTATTAACAGACCGTTATTTGTATTTACTTTTTCCGCCTAACAGTGTGGGGTTAACGTGTCAAACTCATCGTGCAATGGTCGCTAGCACCGAGTGATCTTAACTACTGAAGACTTCTAGAAGCATTCGTGTAACTGGCTGCCTTTAGTTTTCTAAATTTGTGTTCTTGTAAATGTTTTGATTCACTCACTGCTATTAGCCTCAATTTCGGTGCACAACATCGTTGAATGATTCACTTTTGTTTTCCTTTTAACTTTTAAAAGGTTTCCATGAGCAAATAGGATAGGCAGGCCCATTCACAAGTTCACCTCTTTCACTATAGCAAGAGAGCCAGAGGTGTATGAAATCAAATGAATTCGTGAATTCGTTGTTTCTTTTTCCTTCCTCTTTTTTAAGATATTTGAGCTAACCTACTCAATGACTGATTGATTAAGCTCAGCGTTGTCTTGACGTGTATTCTTGTAATGCCAGAGCCTTCCAGTTTCTACGACGAGTTTATTTTAGTAGAATTGTCGTGCGTTACAGTGCGTTACAGGTGTCATTATAAGGTGTCACGCACTTCAGTGTTATTACCTCTAGGAAATTTGCTGAGCTTCCAAGTTTAATTTGAGTTTATTAAAATTCGTCAAGGATGCACTTGGTAAATTGTATAAAATTTATGCCTTTTCAGCATTGAAATTAACTTTATGATGCGAAAAAACCCATCGCTATTCCCTTTTTGTTGGATTTGGTCTTAAGTTATGTTGCTTTGTGTAGAGACGCCTAAACCACCCTGACGTTAGATCCAAAAACGAAACAAACTACATAAAAAAGTTCCTCCCATGTGATTTTTTTTCCCGTACAATTAACTCGCTATGGTATACAGGGTGATAATTACTTATCATTTTTACGAATTACGTTGTTACTTATTCTTAGAATGCGCAAAAGGACAAGTGAGCTGAGGATGACATGTGAACGAATCAATGCAGAAAAGCCAAAAAAATGTCGTTCTTGTTGATCATGCATTGTCTTTTAAGATATGATCGGTGAATAAAATATCTAATTTAGAGATTTTTAGTCCGTGGATTTTTTTTCTAATTTTGGTACTTCAATTTTTGTATGGCCTTAGATTTTTTCACTCTAGCTCAAAATAAAAAGGAAAAAGAAAATCTGAGATATGCATCTGCACGAGGCCGCGAAATCAAAGGAAAAAGCTTAAAAATAATCCTCAAAAACGTATAAAGAGGAAAACCATATAACGCAGTTAAAAATCAATTCAGTCACTGTTCCGCTGAACAGTAGTTTTTTTTTTTTCAGCAAATTCCTTTAGCTGCCAACTGTCCTTTTAGTCTTGAAAAATAGTCGACGTCTGGCTGACCATTCCTGAAGATTTATAGAGGTAAAACTGGATTACAATTAAGAAGAGAAAATATTTCAAGATTTGACAAGGCCTAAAATTCCAAAGAAATGCTAAATGTAAAATGCAATCATATTTACCAACACCTTGCGAAAAATCTCGTTGAGTGGAGCGGAAAATTTTTATAATCATTCCTCGAAATTCACTCACTTCAGATTGCTGAATTACGCTATTGTTTTACTCTTTTGAAATTGCTTCTTGTTTTTTTTTTACCGAAAATACCTTACCTTTTCCTAAACGAACGAGACTGATTCGCTATGACGAAGGGCTAACGCTCGAAACGTCAGCTTTGAAACTCTTTACGGTGACCAATTTGCGTTATCAACACAGTTGATAATATTTAACTACCCTGATTCAAACTGGATCAACGATGGCCCCCAGATGTGAAGACCCAAGCGGATTGACGGAGCCCTAACCTGAAATAACTTTCAGCTGTGGTCTTCAGTTCTAATCCATCCAACACCACCTGACCGAACTCTTCGGGAGCAGTTTGTGAAATAGTAAATACCAGGCGGGCGTCAAAAGCTTTTCTAAGTAATTTCAGAACCTGTTTTCCCTCTTGCGAGTCAGGAAAGTAGGCCATACACGATATGCCCTTGTATGATTTGCCTGGGGTTGGATGTTCAGGGCTTTGGACTCCATCATAGAAAGTGAAAGTTGTAACAATTGTGCCATAACCTTCGAAACCAGTAAGATCTTCCGAATACTTTTTCCACATCATTTCTCCAGGAGGCTGGTTGCCTTGGGGACCGACTGACCTGTAGGCACTGCTGGGGCGTTCCACGAGTGGGATTGAGTCGGATGTGGAAGGGTGAGTGTCTGTATGTGAAACGAAAAAGTGAATGAATAGATTGAAAGTGAAAATTAACAAATATAGAGATTAAAACAAATAAATAGACATAGGGTTGGGCATATTCTTAACAATCAATAGGAAACTGTCTCAAAGAAAAATTCAAAACTCGTAAATCAATCAACATAATTCATAGAAAAGAGCCTTCAAAAAATGAATGACAGCGGTTTTGTCTGAGGCTAGTTATTAATATCTTATTTGTTCGGTCCATCTCAACATTCTGATAATTAAACAAGGGATCTTAATTTAGGTCTCTTACGTACCTTTGGTATCATGGTCAGATCTACGTATGAGGGTAGCAATGTCAACTCTTTTGAGATTTGTCAAGCCATATGCATCAGCACAAGCGGGACAGTCATCACTAAATGAGAAAGCTTTCTGTTTACAGTCGTAACAGAACTTGTGCTTTTCACAAGTGTTTGAATTTTCTGGGGCCAATTGATCCACCGCTTCCTGGCAGAGAGCACAGAGGATGCGGGCACTCTGCAGCTGTGCAGTTTCTGCTGAAACTAAGAAACAGATAAATGTATAATTAGTTTAAAATTAGAACACGTGACGACATGTGAGTCAATCTTATTCCATTTAAGATAACTCAAGATGGTTTCGTTTTTCATCACACCAATTCCTTGATAGTTAATACTATCACATATTTTCGCCTGTTTCCTTTAAAATTTTGGAAATAGGTAAACCATTTTGAGCCACTTTAATCACCAATATTTCTATCAAGAATGTTTATTTTTAAATATATTTGATTAAAAACAATATCTATCAGACCCAGTTTGGTCTTTTCTTCCTGAAAAGAAACATTATCCAGGTACGATACAAACCGCAACATTTTTCCTAACTATGTAGCACGCCTGATGCGTTTAGTATAATATGACTTTGCACAGATATTTTTTCAGTTTTTATTTTATTTCCTAAGACCAACTAGATGGGTCAAGGTTAAGTTAAACTCCAGGAAAACTCAATACGTCATCACCTACCATTTTTCTCAGGAAGCGTCTGCAATCCGTTTTCGTCGTCTATCGTCCTCAATGAAGGACTGTTTTGAATTGTTGTTTCCAAAATATCAGGAGTTTCAAGTTCCATGTTGGAATCAAGGATTTTTTCAACTTTCCTTCTAGAATTGTGTAGCATATTGTCATTGCTCTGAAGGCAAATTAAGTGCGGAACACTTGAGGCAGTTGAAGAATTTTTTTCATGTGAATTAAGCGAAGAGCTTTCCTCCAGGTCTTCTTTTTTCTTTACATCGTCATCATCGTCATGTAAAAGTTTTAATCCTTGAGCACCGAGGTGAAGATCGGCATTAATGAGGGACTCAATAGTGGGCGACATGAAACCCTCTAACAGTCTTCCACCATCATGAAGAGAGGACGAATTTGAACTCCTTCGAATTATTTTGTCCATGCCCATTGATAACGGAGGAAGATTTGTGATGTGTCTTATGCTGCGCTGAGCGTGGTGTTGCTCCATCGCTTCTCGTTTAGAAAACGGGTCGACAGCTGTAGACTGTTGTAGTTGTGCTGAAGATTTCTTTTCAAAATCATGGTTTTCAGTGACCTGCTCTTCAAATTCATCCCTTTTCAACTCCTCCCCCATTTCCCTCTTTATACTCTCTCCATCGGGGAAACTTTGAGATAGTTCTCCAACAAGTTGAGGTAAGCGTCTTCCAGACGTTGCTTCCAGTATTTCGAACGCTTGAACTTCCACAGGCCTCGCAAAATCATCTACTTCGATCGTTGTCATTTCCTCGTTCCTGGCGGATAGCTCTTCACTTGATTTAATTTCAGTTAAGGATGTGACAATTTCTTCTCTGGGTGAGACCATTTGGGTCATTCCATTATCTTCCTTAGGCACTGAATCTGGTTTAAGACTAATCGAAAAAGCTGCACTTTGACAAAATATCTCATCCGGTGATTTTCTTGTCACAAAATGTTTTTGTTGTTTATGTGGGAATGAAAATTCTTCCAATTCTTTGGCAAACGCTTTGAAACTTGCTGCATCCTCACAAACTATATGGAAATCAGTAACCCCACTGTGTAATGGACCGACGCTTTTGCTAAACGTGGCAATGACACGAGTGATCACCTCTGCTGACACTTGAACTGGGATGGGATTCCACTCCTGTCCTAATAGAGGAAAAGCAACCGATCTGTGTCTGTGTCCTGATGCCAAAATAAGCCCACTTTTAAGACAAGCGTGGATTTGGCACTTCAGCTCTTTCTTATCCTCCTTGCCGTCGGTCCATAGGGGCAGAATAGTATGAAGAACAGCTTTGCAAGGTAAATTACCACTACCGGTAACAAGCACCTCTCCATATTTTAACATTTTTTGTCCTTGAGTGATCATAAGGCATTCATCTTTTAAAGATCTGCCCCCTGTCTCTTGAATCTGCCTAGATATTCCCTCTTTGTAACAAAGTGATGGATTAGCAGGACTAATAAGAACGTCTGCATTGTGACTTGTTACATTTCCTTTAAGTAACATGACGGTGATACCAGTTTCTGTGGAGAAATTGACATGGTTGTTTCCCATCACAGTTGTTGAGGACTCCGCATCTTCAATGCTTTCCTCTGAATTGGGGCTCTTTGAATGTTGGTGGGCTTCTTCTCCACATATTTCACTTTGTTTTAGCGCTTCAGTAAACATTGTTTCGTCTTTGGGGTGATTTGTTACAGCTTCTCCTCCATTCTCAAGAAAAGTGTTTTCTTCCTCTTTGACATTCTTCAGCCCACTGTTATCATCATCATCTTGTTGATTTTTCGGAAGAGCTTTACAAGGTTTTGTTTCGTTTTGAATTAGATTGTTTCTTCTGCTCTCTGTGCCATGAGAAAATGAGGCTGGCTGTGAGGCTAAATCCGTTTTAGAGACTGGTAACATGGTTGTATTTTGGTTTTCCTGACGAGGTGTCCCTTTCAGCGAAGAGAGTTCATCTGTTTTGAGTCCAGTGTCATATCTTTCAATGCTTTGATATGGTACTGTTTTGTCCTCAGCCTGTACGAAATGTGGTCGTTGTTTGTCTCGAAATAAAAATTCTCTCAACTCTTTGACATATACATTGAAAGCGGCGTCGTCTTCACATACTATGTGGAAATCGGTAACTCCACTGTGTAATGGACCAACGCTTTCGCTAAACGTGGCAATGACACGAGTGATCACCTCTGCTGACACTTGAACTGGGATGGGATTCCACTCCTGTCCTAATAGAGGGAAAGCAACCGATCTGTGTCTGTGTCCTGATGCCAAAATAAGCCCACTTTTAAGACAAGCGTGGATTTGGCACTTCAGCTCTTTCTTATCCTCCTTGTCGTCGGTCCACAGGGGCAGAATAGCATGAAGAACAGCTTTGCAAGGTAAATTACCACTACCGGTAACAAGCACCTCTCCATATTTTAACATTTTTTGTCCTTGAGTGATCATAAGGCATTCATCTTTTAAAGATCTGCCTCCTGTCTCTTGAATCTGCCTGGATAGTCCCTCTTTGTAACAAAGTGATGGATTAGCAGGACTAATAAGAACGTCTGCATTATGGCTTGTTACATTTCCTTTAAGTAACATGACAGTGATACCAGTTTCTGCGGAGAAATTGACATGGTTGTTTCCCATCACAATTGTTGAAGACTCCGCATCTTCAATGCTTTCATCTGAATTGGGGCTCTTTGGTTGTTGGTGGGCTTCTTCTCCACATGTTTCACTTTGTTTTAGCGCTTCAGTAAACATTGTTTCGTCTTTGGGGTGATTTGTTACAGCTTCTCCTCCATTCTCGAGAAAAGCGTTTTCTTCCTCTTTGACATTCTTCAGCCCACTGTTATCATCATCATCTTGTTGATTTTTCGGAAGAGCTTTACAAGGTTTTGCTTCGTTTTGAGTTAGACGGTTTTTCCTGCTCTCTGTGCCATGAAAAAATGAGGCTGGCTGTGATGTTAAATCCGATTTAGAGACAGGTAACATGGTAACATTTTGATTTTCCTGGCAAGGTGTCCCTTTCAGCGAAGAGAGTTCATCTGTTTTGAGCCCAGTGTCATATCTTTCAATGCTTTGATATGGTACTGTTTTGTCCTCAGCCTGTACGAAATGTGGTCGTTGTTTGTCTCGAAATAAAAATTCTCTCAACTCTTTGACATATACATTGAAAGCGGCGTCGTCTTCACATACTATGTGGAAATCGGTAACTCCACTGTGTAATGGACCAACGCTTTCGCTAAACGTGGCAATGACACGAGTGATCACCTCTGCTGACACTTGAACTGGAATGGGATTCCACTCCTGTCCTAATAGAGGGAAAGCAACCGATCTGTGTCTGTGTCCTGATGCCAAAATAAGCCCACTTTTAAGACAAGCGTGGATTTGGCACTTCAGCTCTTTCTTATCCTCCTTGTCGTCGGTCCACAGGGGCAGAATAGCATGAAGAACAGCTTTGCAAGGTAAATTACCACTACCGGTAACAAGCACCTCTCCATATTTTAACATTTTTTGTCCTTGAGTGATCATAAGGCATTCATCTTTTAAAGATCTGCCCCCTGTCTCTTGAATCTGCCTAGATAGTCCCTCTTTGTAACAAAGTGATGGATTAGCAGGACTAATAAGAACGTCTGCATTGTGACTTGTTACATTTCCTTTAAGTAACATGACGGTGATACCAGTTTCTGTGGAGAATTTAACATGGTTGTTACCCATCACAATTGTTGAAGACTCCGCATCTTCAATGCTTTCATCTGAATTGGGGCTCTTTGATTGTTGGTGGGCTTCTTCTCCACATATTTCACTTTGTTTTAGCGCTTCAGTAAACATTGTTTCGTCTTTGGGGTGATTTGTTACAGCTTCTCCTCCATTCTCGAGAAAAGCGTTTTCTTCCTCTTTGACATTCTTCAGCCTACTGTTATCATCATCATCTTGTTGATTTTTCGGAAGAGCTTTACAAGGCTTTGTTTCGTTTCGAATTAGATTGTTTCTTCTGCTCTTTGTGCCATGAGAAAGTGAGGCTGGTTGTGAGGCTACATCCGTTTTAGAGACTGGTAACATGGTCGTATTTTGGTTTTCCTGACGAGGTGTCCCTTTCAGCGAAGAGAGTTCGACTGTTTTGAGTTCAGTGCCACATCTTCCAATGCTTTGATATGGTACTGTTTTGTCCTCAGCCTGTACGAAATATGGTCGTTGTTTGTCTCGAAATGAAAATTCTCTCAATTGTTTGGCAAATACATTGAAAGTGGCATCATCATTACACACAATGTGTAAATCAGTGACTCCATTGTGCAATGGACTGACGCTTCTGCTGAACGAAGCGATGACACGAGTTGTCACCTGTGCTGAGACACGAACTGGAATAGGATTCCCCTCTTGTCCTAATGGCGGTAACGCAACCGATCTGTGTCCATGCTGTGATGCCAAAATCAACCCTTTCTTTAAACACACGTGGATTAAGTGCTTAAGGTCCTTCGTATCCTTCTTTTCCTCGGTCCAAAGGGGCAGAATTGCATGAAGGATAGCTTTGCAAGGTAAATTACCACTATCAGTAAAGTATACTTCGCCATAATTTGGCGTTTCTTGGCCTTGTGTGCTCCTTTGGAATTCATCTTTTAACAATGTACCCCCTCTGTCCTGAAATTGATTTGAGATTCTTTCTTTGTGACAGAGCGATGGATTGGTTGGACGTATGAGAAGGTCTGCATGATGGTTCGTAATGTCTCCTTCAAGCAACACGACGGTGATACCAGTTTCCGTGGAGAATTTAATATGGTTGCTCTCCCCCCTAGAAATTGTGGACTCCAGTTCTTTTATGCTTTCATTTGGACTCTTTGGGTTCTTTGATTGCGGTTGAACTTGTTTTTCACAGATTTCATTTCGTTGCGTTTCATCCATATCATTTTCCTCGATGTGGTCACTTCTCACGGCTTCTCCCCCACTGTCTAAAGGAGAGTTTCCCTTCTCTTTGACATCCCTGAGCCCATTGTTATTACCACCCTGTTGTTTTCTCGAGAGAGTTTCAAATGGCTTTGTTTCGTCTTGATTTTGGTTGTTGCTCCGAAGCTCAGTGCCATAAGGGAATGGGGCTGGTTCTGAGGTTGACCCCGAAGCATCGTCGGAAGTCGTAACCATAACCAGTTCAGTATTTTCTGTTCTCTCATTTGGGTCGTCCTCGACAAAACTTTTCTTTATTGCAGAGGATTCAGTGGTCGTTCCTTGACTCATCTCACCAATTTCTTTATTCGCTACTTTTTGAATGGGAATTTCTCTTCGGGTATCGATGTTTTTTTCATCAAGAAATGTATTCTCCACTTTGTGTTTTTTATAATCACTTAAGTCTGTTGGACGTTTATGATTTTGGGCCATAATTTGGGGACCTCCAAGGTCACTAAACTTTTCTGCTTCTTCCCTGCTTAGCCATCGTTTACCAACACCTAAAATTTGAGATTTTTTTAATTCATCTTCAAGTTTCCTAGCTTCATCTGTTTTCCTTTTCCTCTCCGCTGTCGTCATTGAATCTTCTGTCCTTGTGGCTTTTGCTTGGTTCTGATTTCTACCTCTGCTTCGGAGTTCTGTTTTCACCGACTCGCGTTTCTGTTCTATGCTAGGCGAGCTCTCAGCACCAGGGAAGTCGAATAAAGGAACGGCGGAACCATAGGTTAATGTCTCCGGATGTACTAATTTGTCCTCTTCCTTGTTTGTCTCCTTGCTGTTTACCATGTTTATGGGCTGATTCAATCCTCGTCCTTGAGATTCTCTCAAGTTTGCCTTCCCCGTCAAGTTTCTGTTGGGATGTTTTTGACCATTGGCTGGTTCAAAAAAAGGTTTATCAGCTCGGGGAGACTCTCTGATAGCCTTCGGATACACTGACTTTCTGCAGTCTGTCTGCACAGGCTCTCTCTTTCCCTGATGACTACTGATCGGTATAATTTTCTGTAATAAGCTGCGGACTTTTGCTATTTCCTCAAATGTTCCGGACACAACAAAGCCGTCGAAAATCCTTTTCCTCTCTACTACTGCTTTGTCTTTGATAGATTGTAGAATTTCTTCCAAACTGGAGAAGCTTAAACCTAATGGTTGTGGATCGAGACGGGCGGCCACTTTGCCAAACACCTTGAAAGCGTTGTAATGTATGCAGTAAGTCAAAAATTATTCCTATATTGACATATTTCTAAGCTGTGCAACACATTATCAGTTGTTTAATCAATATTTTATCACCGGTTCGTCCTTGATAACAGACTTTAATTTTCCTCCCGATAGAATGAAAGTACACAAGGTAGAGCTTGAACAGCTCCCTTTGGTAGAAAATAAATTCAGAAAGCAAACCTTTAAACATTATGAGGGAATGTTATCATCTTCATCAGCATGGACTTCCGGCCGAGTTACCCGCTTCACCCAGTTTGTGCTCTAATTCGTCTGTTACGGTTTACATATCATTTTATATCTAATATGCGTAAAATACCTGGTTTGATGGTTGAACATTTCGTTCCACTTTCACCTGAACGCCATCTATGGTGTGTACTCTTGTCAAAACAGACTCTGCGACTGAAAGGGATTAAAGGGGATAAGTTTCTGAATAAACTATGGTGCTGCGGCGGGGGAACATTTTACAGACCATTACAAGATAATCATTGCTTTTTATCAGCTGAGTTGATAACGTATATTAGTCACCGTAAAGAAATTTCTAAAGCTCACGTTTCGAGCGTCAGCCCGTCGCCAGAGCTAATTGTAAGGGTTTAACGCTCAAAAGTCTTTACAATAGCTGATTTACATCATCAACTCGTCAATAAAACTAAACTGAAACCACAAACTATACTAATTATGTTTCATGATTCTAGATGTTGAGATGTTGCATGGAGCCAACGCAAAACAATGCTTTGTTGAAAGCAGTTATCTCTGTTACCAAATGAGCAAAGGGGATAAGTTTCTAAAGAAACTGTGGTGCTGCGTTGGTGGGAAAGTATAACGGGGTAATTTAGTGTCATCAACTGAGTTGAAACGCAAATTGGTCACTGTAAAGAGTTTAAAGGCTGACGTTTCGAGCGTTTGCCCTTCGTCTGTGCTAACGCCCGAAACGTCAGCCTTTAAACTCTTTACAATGCACACCGCACATATCAATTATTTGGGATCAGCCTGCAACCGATCCTGCTCAAAAATCGTAGAGAGCCTTAGGCTTTGTTGATCAGGACATAAAATGACAGATTACAATTTAGCTTAAATATTTACAGTTCGTTGTATAGACATCTAACGCTACCAAACAAAATGCTCATAGTTTCTCTCCAACCCGACCAGCGATCAACCCCCCCCCCCCCTCTCTGTCCTTGTCCTAATCTTACTACTTAAAACGTTTGAGCAATAACAGTGAAACAGTTAGTATTGTGGTTGTCCAAACACGAATACTACTAAAATTCTCTTTAATTTCGACATTTGCTTGATTGGTAGAATATGTTAAATTTCCAGGAGAGAGTGTTGATTGTAGCAAACGCGTTTCTAGGTAAATCTGTTCTGTTCATAAGTTCTACCTTCGATAATCTATTTTCTTTTTCTTTAAGGATCGTGACTTGCGTGAAATGCGTGAAATGTAAATTAATGTTTCGTGACTGCGTGACATCTTTTGTAGTTATATTTCCAATTGTTTCTTGTGTATGCAAATTCTCTCATGCAAGCTGTTTGTAGTGAACATGAACATTTCACCAGTTGGTTCTAAGCCAGACGAACACTTATCATTCCTTTCTTTAAATTACACGCCACAACACTTCATAAAGGAATGTATACGATGATTACATATTCGACTCCCAAGACCTGCTAAACATTGAAGGTGTAGGGGCTTTCCCGAGGAAAATTTGTAGCGCTTGTCTCGAAAGTTTCGTTTTCAGCAAACTTCCGTTTTCGATGGTGTTTATTGCCGCTGAAAGTGATGAGAACATTCAAACACCTCGAATCAAATCACCTCTGAATAAAGAAATGGAGCAAGTGACTTCGATATTTTGATAGCTAATCGAGCCATTTCGTCATGGATCGACAGTTAATCTCCGTGAAAGTATCGCAGTTATCGGTGTTTCAACTAAAGCTGACTGCAGTTTGAAGGCGATCGAAATGATTTTCAAAATCAATAGATCTAACCAACCTTCTTCTTTTTCAAATGTAACAACTGCTACACCTTCGCTTCGTAAGCAAACATCGTCGACTTCACCTCCACCATTTCTTCGCCTCTGAAAGTAAATGATTATCGCCTCCTTGCTTGTCGAGGGTGATAGGTTTTTAACAACGACACTTCTATTGGCGACACTTGTATTTCTAGGCTGTGGATTCCATGGCTCATCGACGAAAATTGGCTTCGCTGCCATGATAGCGTAGCCACAGATTGGTGTCTGACGATCTGTCTTGAAGTGACGATTGCTTCACTGTGTGTTTCTGACACGCTTTCCAAGAATTCCCTAAAACTTCCGTAGCAACAAATCGTCTAGGAACTGGGTAAGACCTTGACGGGGAGAGGGAAGAATGTTTTTTTTGTTCTCATTTAGTTTACATTTCCTTTAAGTTTTAAATGTAATGAGAATTGCCCTAACTTGTTTAGTTGATACTCAGTTTATTTACGGAGGAAATTACCGTCTTTTGACCGTTTAGCTCGTATTTTTATAAAGCTAAAATATCTTACCTTACCCTTAGTCCCTAGAAAGAAACATGCGTGACAGGCAGTGACGTCATCGAAATATCATGCAGGGGTTTTTCCCGACGATTTCTAAGAATCGGCACTGACGAGCAATTTCGGTTTCGCCTGACGCGGAACTCGCTTTTTGTTTTCAGCTTATTTCGGTTTTTAAATTGTAGAAAGATTAAGTTATACCTTTGTAAACATGAAGAAGACCGGATTTTGCATGTCTGAGGTATTAGTGGGTCGGAGAGATCATAGAGTACGAATGAGCGAAATATTTCCAATCACCAAAACAATCTCGAGGTTGAGATATCAGCACCGTCGATTAAAAAGAAGGCAAGGCAGTATTACAGTGATCCACGTACTCCCGTATCGAGCGGGGAATCCCTTTAACCAATTCTCTGCAAGAACCTTAGAGGGGAACCAGATATTTTTTTTACAAATTTATGTTACACCATATTTAAGTAGTAGAGAAATCACAGTTATCTATTTGTTCAAATAGCTTAATTTAAGAGATAAACGCATTTTGTTTTAACCCCAGTAGGCCACTGAACAGGTTACTTGCGTGACAGACGATGACATCATCGATACGTCGGAAATTGACATCCTTCCAGATTCTCGGAATCCGCGCCTGCGAGAAGTTTCGGTTACGCACGATGCGGAAGAAATCTATCTCACATTTACCTTTCGAAGTTTAGATACGCACATCATCTTAACATGGACGAAGGTCGGATTTTACACGTTCGAGCTATCGGTAGAAAGATATCCAAGCAAGAATTAATGATATATTTCCAATCACGTAAACAATCCGGAGGTGGAGATATCAGCTCGGTGGACTTGAGGGAAGGCGATGCGGTCATAACATTTGAAGAAAGCGATGGTGAGTTTGAATTTCCCTCTGTTTCATTCTCTCAGCCTATGAATTCAACCACAACTGTAATTAGTAATTAGTATTCTGTTTAAAGAAGTGCGGATTAAATGTAGGTCACTCGAATTTCATGATTTCATGCCTGTTCTTTCGAGTGCGAAACTTCCGCTCTTCCCTTCAAATGTTTCCAGATTTCGCCGAATTCAGATCTTTAAAACAGCGGCTCAAACATGCATCATAAAAACAACTTTAGGGGAGGGCAAGGAAAACGTAACATTCATGATATGATTATAATGATTATAACAAAATCCAAAGCATAAGTATATCCTGACAAAGGGTCATGCGTGACTGGCTTATTCATTTCCAAACACTTGCGCTCTTCTTTAATTATTATTGAGATGTCGGCCATGTGTGTTTTAACTTTACATGAAATATTAATGATCATAATGAAAGTTTCGCAAGAATCATCCATGAATATTGCAAAGGGAATATTCTAGTGTTAAAAATCCAATTTATTTCAAACTGATTTTCCCACTAAGCTCTTTTTGTGACTCTCTCTTTCATGGACACGTATACAATCACTTCCCCGGTTTTTCCTAATTCTTTCATCCATTTATTCCACGCATACTCATCCTTGTTCTAACCACTGGCCGTTCATTTCCATAAAAACATTCAATGATCCGTTCATCTCTTTCATAAACCATATTCAATTTCGGCATGAAAGTTTAACACAAATAAAAATAGTCTGATTTTTGCTTGATGTATTCTTGTTCAGTGTGTTAAGTTATTTATTGCCTTTTTATTTTTTCTTATTTGTTTTGCAGTTGCAAAGAGTGTCGTAAGAAGAGCGCCACATACCTTAGATGGAACTAAAGTGGAAGTTTCATATCGTGCATTTGATGAAGAGTTCCACGCAAAGGACACATCAGTTAATCAGGTCAGACCTTCGGGTGAACCTTTCAGGAGTTCACTGATTTTAATCTCGGGAAAAAGCATCGCTAAGTCGATGAGTCCTTGATTCACTTGTATATGACGATGCTTCGATTTCTTAAATCATATTTAATGTTTCCAATAGATTTTCCCTTGTAAATTAAACATCAAATAGTGTTTTGGTGGTTTAATTAAAGCCGGTAAACTAAAACCTCTGGTCACTATGAAGACCATAAACACTGCCTATGGTGCCTCTTACCTTCATCTGTTTAATGTCTGGGTTTCGCTATTCGCCCCCACTCTCTTCCCCCCCCTCCTCCTCCCCCCATTCATTTGATTTTCTCAAGCAATTTTTCTTTGGTCACACTTATCTCTCGTGCTCTTGCAGACCTGTGTTATTATCGTTCGAGGACTTCCTCAAAGTACAACCGAGGATACTGTTTTGAATTACTTTGAGAACACAAGGCGTTCGGGGGGTGGCGCCGTAGAGGAAGTGAAAATCGAAGGCAGTGTAGCACGAGTGAAGTTTGAGTCATCTGAGGGTAACTTAGTTATAATGTTCATCATCATAAAGTCAGGCGATGAACTCATCTCAAGAGATCAATTGTGTAATTTCGTAACAAAGAGCCGACTAAAATTTGCCTTACTTTAAACATATGTCTTTCTGGATCAGTTAGAAGACTGCCTTCTTGAAAGCTTGTTTTTTCTGCTATTTGATTATTTTCGAGGATCACTTCGTAACTTGTTTATCATGCAGTAAGGTTTAAGTGCTGGAAAAAATGATACGGTGAGATTTTTGGGTGACGTTTCGTCCCCTTTTTACCCATGATAGACTCATACGACCATGATCAGATGACTAGAGGAAATGTTTTAAGCTAAGTTATAGAATGTATGCTTTGCTCTCTCTGAGATTTGTTTTCTTTGACACTGTCTGAGGTTTTCTTTTTAAAACAAAGAGCAATTGTTGTCGCTGTTGGATCAAGATCTGTATTCTTCGATTTTCTCTACACTTACTTCATTTCGTATCCTCTTTAGTGGCACAACATGTTGTCAAGTATGACAAGCAGCATATCCTGAATGGTGCTACTCTTGATGTCAGTCTAGAATTACTTGATGATGCGGAAAGTACAAGCAAAACTATCAAGATAACTGGCGTCGCTGCAAAGACCACAGAAGATTCAATTTCCAACTACTTTGAAAACGAGAGGCGTTCTGGGGGTGGAGAGGTAGAGGCTGTGGATCTCCGACCTGAAGAAAATGTAGCTTTCGTGACATTCAAAGATGTTGATGGTAAATAATTTGGTTTAGGGTGACTTTCATTTTGAATTCTTATAAGGACTCCTACTGTCAAGAAAAGAAACCATCCTGCAGAAATATGTCGGATATTGAGAAAAATTATTTCTCGGTAACATTACATTTTTTACTATTTAACTCCCATGAGTAAGTGACCGAGACAGAATTTCTCCTTACAATATCAATACAATACTAAGAATAAAGAAAATCATCAATGAGGGGATATTTATTTATTAGTTGATCCAATGCCGAATTCCAAGAGATAACATCGTAACAATTGTATGGCAGACAGTAAAGAGAATTACTAATAAGATCTTGTGAATGAAAGGGTCAGAGAACCTGCTGAGCCTCTTTATGTTAATTTTTTTTTTCTTCATCATTTTGTATTCCAAAGAGTGGATCATTAACAGTAAAAGGATTCTTTATTTTTTGTTTCTCCCACAATGATAATCATTTGTTGCATTTCAAGCTGTAAAAAGTGTGTTACAACATGGTCAGCACATTCTCGATGGAGCCACACTGAGTCTCATGCCCAGCAACACAGCAACTGACTCGCTTGACAAAGTAAGAATACAAGAATCACGAACAATAGAAGTTACTGGACTTGCTCCGAAAACAACTGAAGATGCAATTTTGAACTTTTTCGAAAACAAACGGCGCACTGGGGGAGGAGAGATAGAACGCGTCAATTTTATTCCAGACCGAGGGGTTGCTTTTATCACCTTCGCTGAGGCCGAAAGTGAGTACGAGCAAATTTAAGTGTTTGAACTTAACATATCAAAAATTTCTGTTTTATAATGATAAACTTTTGGTACTTTCCAAGCTGTAAAAAGTGTCTTGGGACACAGTGAGCATACTCTTGATGGAGCCACACTGACTGTCACACCTCGTAGCACAGCCGTTGAACCATGCAACGAGAAAGAAGCACAAGAGTCACGTACCATTGAGGTGACTGGACTTGCTGCGACAACAACCAAAGACGCTATTTCGAATTTTTTCGAAAACAAACGGCGTTCCGGGGGAGGAGAGATAGAGAGCGTAGATTTTAATTCAGACCAAGCAACGGCTGTCATTACCTTTACCAAAGCCGAAAGTAAGTCTACAGTAAATGTCATACACCTGTCTGTTACCTTAATGCCGTGTACCAGTCATGCGTGGCTTCACTTCATTATACCTACATCAAGAGGGATCCTCTCTTAACTTCCATAGCAAAGGACCACGAGAAATAGCACCATTTTACAGTGATTTTAAAGGATTTCAATTGAACTAGCCGTCTCCGTTTTTCTTTTTCGCGCCCAATCAAACCGAACGGGCTGACGGCTTGTCCAAGTTAGGATCGAAAACTGACAAACAGAAATTGAACTGGTGGTAATTATTTCCGTAAATGTATGATATGTAGTTATTATCCAATACTGTTGCACAAGTTTTTTGCCTTGTTTCATTTGTTTGTGTGTTTGCCTGTTTGACGAAAATCGTTTGATCTTTCTTCTTACCTGAAGGTGCTCGTGGAGTCATCAATAAAGGAAGTCTTGTTTACGATGGAGTGAATCTCTTGATTACTCTCAAACAACCCGCACGGAAACTTCCCGTGGACACGAGAAGACTCTTTGTGCAAGGCCTTAGTGATAAAACTACCTCAGACGCTCTTCAATCTTACATGGAAGTAGTAAGTGGAGTGGATGTCCTGAATGCTGAGTTTGGAAATGAAACATGTGCAATAGTTACCTTCAATGAAGACTATGGTAAGTTCACATTACTAGCAAACTAACACAACTGACAACAGGAAGGGATAAATTGCCGTATTTCTTAGAATAAGCGCGCACGCTGCGGTTAGTGCCCTCCCTCCAAACAAGCGCCCATCCCCGAGGCCATAATATCAAACAAGCGCCACCGCGAATAGCCGCCCCTTCTCCTCCCCCCTCACTTTCTAAATATGTGTCGATGCAAAGAAAACCTGTTTCCATTGCCACTTCATTTGAGCTTCAACTACAGCAGAATCAGTACTTGTAAATAGTTTATTAATAGGTGCACTCCACCTGGATTATGCACCCTCCTTATAGATAATAAGCGTTCTATGAATTTGTTAAGAAATACGGTATCCTAATTTAGTAGAAGTGGAATATGCATAGCGTTTACATTGTTGTCCCCGAGCGTAACGTAAACATTGTTTCTTTTTTTAAATATTTTTCATTGAGTGTTAACCCTTTGTAGCCGGTGAATTTTTAAGGTTCTCGAGCTCATTGTTACGGCTTTAGTTTTATCAAATAGGCTCGGTTAAAATATTCTACTCCCGTTTTATAAGAGGAAATTACTCCACTAATACACGATCATTCGATGAAAGTGATATATAATCTGATGTGTAATTTTGAATTTTTGAAATAACAGCCCGACTACTCTTATAGCCCTTGTGTACTCCTAAGATGCTTCAAATCTAGTTCTATGTTTCGTTTTGAAATAGTCTAAAGCTTTTTGCTCTTAATATTTATATATCGTTTTCTTCCGAAAATATATAGATTACAAAGCTGTTACAAAGATGATCTCCAGGAAGCCACTGGAGGGCAAAATCCCAGTAGTAGAGCAACTTCCAGTTTGTCACTGCGTGCAAGTATCGGGTTTTAGCAAGGAAACAACTACTGAGGATACTGTACGCTATTACTTCGAGAGTCCAAAGAACAACGGTGGTGAAGTAAGCAGTGTGGAGCTCAATCTAAAGGAAGGATGGGCGTTGGTTTACTTCGAAGACCCAAAAGGTGTGTAACATAACTTACCGTATTAAAAAGAGGGATTAAAAAGAGAGTCAGTTACTTTCCCTTTGGTCTGAAAGAAAATGTCCCGATTATCCTTGTCAGAAGTATCAAGAAACGCCTAATTTTCAGTCCAAAGAAGACACCATTCTTCATGAGATAACGAGTTGTGTACGCAATCTACATGATCTCTGTTGTGGTTCTACCTATCCACTAGAAATACGACTAAAATCGAGTCCTACATTTTCAACAGGAACTACTCTGTGAAGCTTAGCTTTTTTTAGCTTAAAGACAGGTTCAGATGGTTGTAAATTATAAAGTACACAGCAATGAAGAACTAGGGTCCACAACGAATTCATTTAGCAGTAGCCCTTCCCTGTCTTTTCTGATAGCCTTAAAATATTTTGAATATGTATTTCAGCTGTTTTAAATGTCGTGGTGAGGAGTCACTCCATAGGCGATGCACAATTGGATGTCAGGCCATATCACTCTTTACTTGGAAAACCTCAGCCAGTTAAAGCTGATGTTGAACTGGTGCAAAATATCACTGTAGATGTAGTTAAAATGCAGTTCATTTTTGAACACTGCAAAGCTGATCTGAAAGAAGTTCAAAACAGGTATGGTGTTCAGATAATCTGGATAGAAAGCACCAACAGCGTCACAGTCACACCCAAAGATGAGGCCTCAAGAGATAAGTGCAGCTTCGATGAGGCATGTGAGGCTATTGCTTCTCTCCTCGCTGAGTTTGTTAAAAGCTCTACGCGTGTTCCTCCGCAGGCTTGGAATTATGTAGTTGAAAACTTCAAGAAAAGTAAAAGTCCAGCGAATGAAAAGCTAAGAATTGATTACATCTCTGAGCAGCACGTCATCCTTTTCGTTGGGAAGAAGCAAGATGTCGAGGATATTGCCGAAGAATTGGAAGAAATGATGGAAGAGATTGACAAAAAGCTGAGGAGAGAGGCATCGAAAATAGAAAAAACAATGTCTATTCCATATATGCGCTTGAAGTTCTTAAAAAATCTCGAATTTGCTAAGGAACTGGAAAGTCGACATGAAGAAATTGAAGTCACCATTCTACTTCAAAAGGGAAAGGTTGAAATTCGAAGTCCTCCTGAAATCATCCATAAGGTGAGTGCAGCTATTTGGGAGGCAGTTGCCAAAATGTCAGAAGTGAAGCTAAACTTACCACAGAATGCTGTCGCCTTGCTTAGAAGTACACCCTGTCAGGCATTCATAAGAGATATGTTCACGGCCAACAATTTACAAGCCATGATAGCCTTTGACGAGAAAAACGGAGATTTATCGGTAATGGGGACGGAAATTGATGTCGCAGAGAAAGCTCACGATTTAGTGAAAACTTTGATAGTTGAGGAATGCGTTGACCTGGATGAAGATCAAGTTCAGTTAGAGAAAAATGGAAAGTGGCATCAGCTGAAAAAAGAAATAACAGAAAAACGCATTTTAACACTGTCATTTGATAGAAGCAATAAGAAGATTTACCTCGTGGGCGTAAAGGAGGATGTTTCGGTTGCTGTTAAGGCTGTCAAGCGTTTCCTCACAGAAAATACCATTATCAGTAGCGTTGTGACACTTCCAAAAGGTTGTCGCCGATTTCTTGTGAAGTACCGCGAACAGGAACTTCAGCAAATACAAGAGGAACTGAAAGAATATTCCACGCAAATAAAGGGTTTGGCAGATGAAGATGAAGAGCATTTGGTTGTCTCAGGTACTAGCTGTGGAGTTGACAATGCTAAGGAACTGATTCAAGATCTGGCATCTAAAGTTCAAAGTCAAAAGATGCCTGTCAGCAAACCTGGGATGAGTAAAGTGCTTGATCGAGGCAAAGGAAAAAAATTACTGGGCATGTTAGAGAATGAAAATAAGTGCGTAATTGAATACTTTAAACCAAGCAAAGATGACGCAAAGGAAGTGACAAAAGAAAAGAAAGCAGAAAAGAAGAAGGAGAGTTTGTGCAACCTTCTTACCCCGGACGGAAAAAGGATTCTGGTGTTCAAAGATAACATCTGCGATCGCAACGTGGATGTGATTGTTAATGCTGCTAACTCAAAGCTTCATCACGTGGGTGGTGTCTCAAAAGCCATTTATGACAGAGCGGGAGAGGCCTTCAAGGCAGAGTGTGATCGATTTGTCATTGATACAGGACCAATATTGGACGGCCAAGTGGCTGTCACGTCTGCAGGAAAACTACCTTTTCAAAAAGTAATTCATGCTGTGGGGCCACAATGGGAGAAAAAAGCAGCACAGGAAAAATTGATGGGGAAAACTCCAAGAGAAGAGAAGATTTTAAGCTATGCGGTAAAGAATGCACTGGACGCTGCGAAAGGCTATAACTCAGTAGCCATTCCTGCTATTGGCACAGGCGTTTTTGAATTTCCACGTGAACTGTGCGCCCAAATTATGGTAGAATCTGTGCTTGCTTTTTTTCGAGAAAACCCGAGTTGTCTCCTGTCCGAGGTTCAGTTTACCAGTATCGAGGATGGTGTCGTAAAGGCCATAGCAAATGAGATGGATTCTAAATTTCTCAACGATCCCAATTATAAATCGTTTGCAGGCCCTAAAAGGAAAGAAAAAGAGAAAGGAAGAGCTTCATCAATCCTAGATATTTCCTCAGCAACAGTTTCTTCTAATACCGCTCCAAATGTTATGAAAACCGCTGAAGGTCTAGAATTGGTTCTTGTCATTGGTGATATGACAAGTGAAAAAGTAAGTCACATTATATTCTTCGAATAAGAGTGATTCCACGTTCAATTTTATCAAGAAAAAACCCGATTACATGTGATTATAGTTGGTCTCAAACATATCCAAATGAATCAAGCATCCTTAGGGTATGCTCCTGCATAAAGCTTTTACTAGGCCGCTTAAAACAGCCCGTAACCATCCAGCTTGGCTTATGGATAAAATTTAGACAAGTTGTCGATGAACTGAATTTGATATCTTGTTGGCTTTCTTCAGGTTGATATTATCGTCAACTCAACCTCGACGGATCTGGATCTAAGTAAGAACGCAAGTGCAATGGCCCTGAGTGCCGCTGCTGGTCCCAAGCTACAACAAGAGTGTAAACTGATTGGCAAGGTAGATACTGGGGAGATTGTGGTTACAAGCGGGGCAAATCTTGCGTGCAAGCACGTTTTCCATACGTCATCTGCTGAATGGGAGAACGGAGCGGGCGAGAAGGTAAGCACGAATATCATCTTTTTTTCTGGTAATGAAAGATTTGATAAGTCAGCTTATTATTACCCACTTACCCGCTTACCTTAATAGAAGAGGCTCCTGACCATTTAAACAGATTCTTGTACGGAGTACGGTCCATTTCCATTAATTCCATATAAGCTAAGATTTACAGAGTTGAAAAATGCACTTTTTGAACGGAAATAGAGGGAGCTGTATTGCAAAAACGCCTTCAAACAGTTTCTGAGTTCATCTATGCGGATATTTCAAGTGCAAAAGAATTTAACAAAGACACCATCGTTATAATCATCAGTAAGGTACAAGTATTTTGAAGAGTAAATATCTTATCTGCAGGTACTCCGGAGTATCATAAAGAAATGTCTTGAAGAAGCTCAAAAGAGGAGTCTCTTAACAATTTCCATCCCCGCAATTGGGACTGGGAACCTCAACTTTCCCCGTGATTGCGTGGCTGAAGCTTCCTTTGATGAAGTATTATCCTTCAGTAAGAAAAATCCAAGCAGCACTTTGAAAGAAGTCCATTTGGTCGTGTATGATAAAGATTTGCAATCAGTGCAAGCCTTCCAGACCGAACTGCAAAAAAGAGGTGGTGTAGGCTCAACTCCACTGCAGCCACCAGCGGGAACAGTAGATCCGAAAAGTGGAAAGAAGAAACGTCGAGGTCGGAGCAGTGGTGGCGCCAAACGATCTAATGTAGATACCCTTGATGATGTTGACGATACCTTGGGGGAAGAGCCTGTAATATTAAACCCCTCCCAACCCGAAATAATTATTGGCAATGTTGTTGTTCAAGCTGAGACTGGTAACATCACAAAAGAAGTAACTGATGCAATCGCGACCTTATCGAACAGCGAGCTCGATGTTGCAATGGGGGGTGGTGTAGGAAAGGCTATCCTAGCTGCTGGAGGATCAACTATTCAAGCAGAATGCTCAGCTATGGGGTCCCAGAAGCCAGGCTCTGTGGTGGTTTCTAGCGCCGGAAAGCTTCAAGTGAGAAAAATTTACCACATGGTTCCAGATTATGGCATGAGCATGCGTTCTATAAGTGACTGCATTTTGACGTGTTTGCGAAAAGCTGAGTCGGATGGATTGACCTCGATTTCATTTCCAGCTGTTGGAACAGGGAACATCAATAAAGATGCCAAAGAGGCTGCAGAGGGGATGATGGCTGCTATTTTCAAGTTTGCTCGAGAGGAACCTGCATTCATTGCTCTAATTCGCATTGTAATCTATCAGCCCCACATGTTAACTGTGTTCCAAACTGCAATGGAAGAGAGCTTGTCTTCTGCGAAAGGTGGGACAGGTTTTCTCTCAAAGCTTGCTGGATGGTTTGGATTCGGACGAAGTGGCTCAGCGTCTTCACATTCTATGCCATCGATGCGCATGTTTCACGGAAAAGGAAAGCCTTTCAGCTACATAGAAATTTTCGCAAGCACCAAGCAAGACATCGACGAGGTCATCAAGAAAATAGAAAAGGATGTGGCTGATCACTGCACGCTGAAAGTAATTGAGCGTGAACCAATATGTAACCTTTCAAAGGAGCAAACACAACAAATAAAGAGATTGGAAGCTGAATACGACGTCAATGTTAACATCGAGCAGACCATTAGTCGCATATCTGTAAGAGGTGATGCAGAAGACGTTCTTGAGGTGGCCACTACAATTTACGAAGTACTCAACCAGAAGATCGAGGAAGATCACACGAGAGGTGTTGGTGAGCTTCTTTCCAAAAATGTACAGTGGTTCTCCTATGACAGCGATGATGATGAAACCCCAGAGCCCTATGAGCCCAGTATTAATTTGCAGATCGAAGAAGCCTTTCGCGAGGGAAAAGATTCCGTTATTGTATCAATCGATGATGCAAAATGCAAAATTGTTTTCAAGGACATGAAGGAAACCTGCCTCGACGATGGAGAAGTGAGAGTCGTCGTTCGAAAAGAGATTGGGAAAGGTACAGTGCAGCTGAACTGAAAAGTAATACATATTTTACAGTTATGCACACCTGTATATCAAAGTCGTTTTAAATTCTATCTCTATTGTGTATTGAACTGTGCTAATTGATATGAATTTCAAGTCAGATCAAATCTTTTCAATCAGGTGTTCCATTACCCTTGGAGTGGGATGTGCACCCAAAGGATGGCTCTGGAAAAGAGAAAGAGGTACACCAAGTGCTATTAGACCCTAACGCGAGCGAGTACAAAAAGGTAGCAGAAGACGTGCGCAAGACGTGTACTGTTAACATTATCAAGATCGAAAGGGTACAAAACCCTGTCCTGTACCGGCAATACATGGTCAGACGGGACCAGATGGAACATAAAAAAGGTAGCAATGAAAAACTACTCTTCCATGGAACAGCGGGAAGCAGCTGCCCCACCATCAACAAATTCGGTTTCAACAGAAGCTACTGTGGCAAAAATGGTAATTATTAAGTTCATTGTTATTTTAGAAGTTTATACCTACATGATTTTTTTTCTTCATTTCCTGTAAAAAATAACTACTTGGGATTAAAACATAATCTTCCACGACTGACACATTTCAAGATAATCGACTCAGGAGGCCAACTTTTCTCTATGAAGACGCGAATATTACGTCCTTTGTATCCTCCTTAGCTAGGGTAATTAGTTTTGGTGATCACTCGAATTTGAAAGTTAAAAGAAGATGTCTTATTATCTTGTTCTAGACATTCATTGTAAACCTCAGTAGCTTTGAGTTAGCGTTTAAATAGCATGGAATGTTTGAATGTTATCGGAAAGAATAAACAAAATAAATTAAATGCCCGCAAGAAGAAGGACGATGTTATTTACCGGTTGCTTTCTTTTTTTTTTAGCCACCGTGTATGGAAATGGTGTTTACTTTGCTCGAGATGCATCCTATTCCACGCAAAAGACATATTCACCACCTGATGGGACAGGAAACCGTTACATGTATCTTGCACGTGTCCTTGCCGGTGAATACACGACCGGACGACAGGGAATGATTACTCCGCCTCCCAAGGGAAGTGACGCTACCGATGCTTATGACACTGTTGTGGATAACCCTTCAAATCCAACCATATTCGTTGTGTTCTACGATAACCAGTGTTATCCAGATTATCTTATTACTTTTAAATGAGAAAAAAAAGGTCGTTAAAGGACTTTGAATAACCAGTATTGTCCCTTTTTCTTTGGAGGTATAGAGTGCATTTTTTTTAACTTTGAGATTGCTTCCATGGGAGAAGCAGGCAGAAGGTTCATCAAGCTCAAACCACCGATGTAGTTCAAACTTAGCAAAAATAGAGGATATTACGAATCAACAGTAATGTCAGGTGCTGACTAAAAGTGTTATAGTTTTAAGAACGATGCAAATACATGTGGGACGACAGAAGGTTTAAGTCTTCTTGAGTACTCTTGGTACTCTAACCCTAACTAACACTGACCTTAGTACCCATTCCACTGATAGCGAGCCTAGTTTTCTTTCTTAAAATGCGTGTCAGTCTGACCTTTTAGTGCCGCCTAAGGTATGATCTCCATAATCTCTCAAGTAAATATGATAACATAAGGGGTATCTCACAATAGACGGTGGTTCATAGCTAATAGTTAATTAGCTATTAGGCACTTTCACGTGCAGTTGTCAGTGAACACTCGTGCCAAGTGCAAAGTTATATACGTCAAATAAAGTTTATTACCAAACCCTCCTGACGAGTTTTTCACGAGCACGCCTTCGCGCATTGTGTCCTTCGTAAACCATGGAATGAATAGTTTTGCAAGGAAACACTTTTATCATTTATTTTCCATATTGGCTTTTTTCATGGGAAGCAAAATCAAATTCGATGGCGGGAAAAACCAAATTACGTCAAGGCGTGACAAAAAAAGAAAGGTCAAATCCGATGAAATATTCAAAACACCAAACATGGTTAATCAGCCGCCAAAGATGTGTAAAATATGGCCAAGCGGCAGCCGAACGGATATGCAGAATCAACTGAAGACAATATTAAAATTATGTACGCGACGCAACAAAACAAACTCATATGTTGTCCTCATCGATTTTAGGACTTTGAGGCCCGTTTATTCAGTTCCAGCATATCTGCTCTGTGTGTGTGAGGTCTACAAAGATGTATTTTGATCAATAAAGAAGCAAAAAGAAGGAAAAACAGCATGATTATTTTAGCATACGGTCCCACGGAATATTTTTTAAATCGGTCGTTGGGATCTTTGTCATGTCGATTTTAAGACCTTGACGCCTTTTTCTTTCCAATAGAGTATTCTTCCGCTCATTTCCCCTTCGTCTGTGCGGTCTTCAAGGCTTTATTTTTTCCAAGGCTGGTGCGGAAAAAAGGAAAAACCAACCAGATCATTTTAGCCTACAGTCCAATGACAGACGCCATTTTTTAATTATGTTGATAACTCCATATACTCAGGCAAAAATTTTGGCCTTTGTACCACACCCACCAGATATTTGAACAGAGAACAATAACACGACATTGGGGATAGGAGTAAATCTAGAACGGGAGGCAGGGGATAACGCGTTTAATTCAAGTTTTAATGCTTAAATACGTGGAAGCCTCCTTAGGTCAAGTTAGTTTTCATATGTCTTCCAGTTCGGCCGAAGCTTGAGGAAGAATAGCTAAATGGACAAGAGCGGTCTGGGCAAGACCGGGCTGGCAAAGCTATAGCCAATGTAAACCGCCAACATTAAATGGAGCTCTCTATGTTCGATGATAAAGTCAAGGCCATAATGAAATGTAGGCAGTTTAGCACGCATTTGAAATAAAGGCGCTTATGCATTTTTTACCATCAAGACCTGTCAATGATACACAGGATCTTTGCTAACTCTCGGACACTTCAATCAAATCAAGTTAATTGAGGTCAAACTCAAAACTCAGCTCAATGTCAGTATACTTAATCAGTCAGTTTGGTTTTCTGGTGAATTCACATCTATTCATCAACTACTCATTGTGTCACTCTAGTGCAGACATTAGTCGACAGAAAGGAACAAGATGTAAAGCCTGAGCTGTCACGTGAGATTTTCTCAAGGACAGATTGTCAGCTTCTGCTGTGTAGTAATTCCACTGCGTGATCTGGAAACGGACACGATGACTGGACACGAGAGCCCATGTTAGTGCCTGGCGCGATCCTGAGAGAGATGTAACTTTGCTATCGTGGGTGAAGACTTCCTTCCAGCATTCGTCTACGAACCATTCATTTGCAGCTGTGTCCTGGTTGTGACCTCGTGACTGATAGATCCCAATGGTCTAGCGTCACATGTCGCGCAATCCACTTGTAGTTACTACACTAAACCACCAGTACACGTTACTCTGAAATTGTATCAGATTACTGTTCGTTTCGATGCTTATGGAGTCATATTTACCCTGAGACGAAGCTGATACCCTGGCTGTTAAACGCGACATTCTGAAGCGGAAAGGCATACTTCCTAGCAGTGGATTTCTGCACATACAGTCACTTATCTTTTTCGCTCCTCTTAGAATTTTAATTTTGTCATAGAATTCCCGGAAATTGGAGCCTGAGCAATTTGCAGAGGTGTAGGATAGGACCTTTCTGATTTTTTCGTTATGCTTCGTAAGGAGCTCATAGGAATTGAAAGAAAAGCTATCTAGTTGGTGTTAGTTCATTGATATTACATTTTTGTTGTAAGGAAATTTCTGTTATCTAGTATTCATCCCAGTAGCCTAATTTTTAAAGACATGCAACACATTTACCCCTCATAGTCCACTGTAGGATTACGCGCATGACCGGTGATGACATAACCAAGATGCTCTGGGGTGATTTCACATTTCTGCGAATACCCAGAGTCAGGGCTTCAGAGAAGTTTCGGTTTCGCACGATAAGGACCTTGACTATCATATAGTTGTTTTTCGAAGTTTGGAATGCCATACCATTGTAAACATGGATAAAGATCGGACTTTACACGTCCGAGCTATCGGTAGAGAGATATCCAAGCAAGAATTAATGATATATTTCCAATCACGTAAACAATCTGGAGGTGGAGATATAAGCTCTGTGGACTTGAATGAAAGCGAAGCGGTCATTACATTCGAAGAAAGCGATGGTGAGTTGAAATTTCCTTTTAATGATCTGTTTAAATTTATTTGTTATCTTTCCCTCCGCGATGTGGTTTAAATTTCCCTTTTTTAATACTTCCTCTTTCACTTTCAAATGTTTCCAGATGTCCCCTAATTCTGCCGTTAAAGCAGCACCACAAACTAACTGATCGTAACAATCAAATTTGTCCATAATATAGCTGTAATGAAGCTTTCCCTGATCCAAAATATCGCAGAGAGCTATTTCTGAATGTACTTCACGTACAATTCGGGCGCGACTTACTCTCCAAAGGCGGCATTCCTGTTTACACGGAGCGTATTTACCATTTCATTTAATGACATGACGTGCCCGCACGTCCTTCCTAATTTCTGTGGAGCTACTATGGTGCATAAATGACATGACGGAAGCAGTTTCACTTTAGCTGGAAGTTTCCGTTTTGGTCGGCCGCGAGGTTTCAAACCTTTCAAGATTGTTTTTTCCGATCTATCCCGATTGAGTAAGACCTATAGAAGATAAAAATGACAAGCAAAACTGATAAATAATGGTTGTTTCGAAAAAAACAATGCGCATGTAGTTCTTTCGAGCAACAAAATTTGCTTTGGAGTTGACGATAGATCATTCTCAAACACGATGCAAACTATTGCTGAACAAGGTAAACTGAGCTTTTCCTCTTGAGGCATGCAACATTGGAACTCTTCTAAATATCATTTTCAAGCGTTGATAAGTCACAAAATTGATTTCAATGGAAGATTTTGTTTCAAAGTCGTACAATTCCTAGAATTTTCAACACAAAGCTATGCAATTTTAAACAACAATCGAGTGAAATAAATCTACCACGCAAGCTTCGTATATGCCACGAATTGGTACGTTTTAGCTTCACTTTTCGAATGGTAAATCAGGACCATTGTGTTGATATGTCTTAAAGTACCTTTCAATAGAAGATTTTAAAGTCGGCATTAAATAACTTCGCCGAAGGCAAAATTCTCAGAATTTTCAACAACAATCCACGCAGTTTCCTCTAAATTCTATTGAACAACGATTTAAGTATACTAAAATGCGGTCTCGTACATGCAAATAATTGTTTCTTTTTGCGTTTCTAGGCAGCAAATTAGCAATTCTTTGGATAAGCTTTGGTTTCGAATCATTTATGAAGTGGTTGTCTTTTCTTGTCCGCATGCTTAATATCACAGATAGAGAAGTCTTGACTGTGCTCTGTTCTGCTCGGAAAGTTTATCCACTAAAAAAAAAAATAATTTTAGAATCATTAGGGTTATTTAAACAAATATCGGATTTTCTTAGGTTTATTTGAGATTTTCTGCACAGTTTCCCTCCATATTTACTGAACTTGAAGCTGTCCCATTACTGTCACGCGACAATGGTCTCGAAGACAACATTCTATTACAACATGATGTTTGGTACGTTAAGTGTGACTACTATACTAAGAAAACCAAAGCAATTCTTAGAATCGCTTGGCATTTCTAAATAATCATCGAATATACTCAATAGGTTTCTCTGGAGTTTTTAGTGGCATTTTGGTGAAAATTTCCAACTGCCGGCCATTAAGTCATTTGAGACCATGTCTGGCTGTCTGATCAAAAGCGAACAATTTATTAGTCGACAACCGAGCGATACTATAGGATGCTCAAGCTGGGAGAATGTTCGCTCAAAAAACAAATTTATTTTTGGAATCGCTTGACATTTCTCAGAAAATATCTGATGTTCTCTTGAAGTTTGAAAGAATATTTCACTTGAAGTTTTGTAGAAATTTCTGAATGCCGGGTATTTAGTCTATTTCAGACCGTACGCGGTTGACGGGTACTTAACGACAGCGCAAAAAAGGTTACGCAATTTTCTTGCTCTGAATTCGGCTAATAAATTACGATTCAAGCATGCTGAACGACCACACGGTCTCGCACATGCAAGAAGAATGTTCTTTTTGCGCTTTTATGCAGCAAATTTACAATTCATTGAATAAGCTTTGGCCTCCAAATTTCTCTTCTGTGGTCGTTTTTGTCTTGTCTTTTTCTTGTCCACAGGCAATGTTATAAAATAATTGGTTCGTGCTTTAGCTGTGCAAGCATCGAGTTCTGAATGCGCTCGGGAAGTTTGGAGAGCACTCAAGAAGTTGGAGTCGCTTTCGACGCAGTCTAACGGAACTCAGTTCAAACGGTCATGGTAGTTGATAATGGTTGACAAAATCACGAAATGCGATCGCGTAATTGTAAACAAATTTAGCGCGCGCTGGGGTCAGCAATCTCGGTGGCATTTCAAATCATAATCAAGATATTTCGAATTGAAGATACTGTAGCCTACCAGGGGATGATGTGAATGGACTACGAGACATTCTGCGAAATTTATCATTTTACCATTTGCCATTTCGGTTTGAGTCCGTCTTTGGCAAAACTGCCGACCGAAAAACTATCATCATCCGCTAGTTCAAACGGAAAAAAAAACTCTCATCAACTACCATGTCAAATTTGAACATGTCCAACTACATGATAGTTAATGATAGCCGATGATAGTCGATGACAGAGGCACGATAGTTCGTGTTCAAACGCGTGCAATAGTTGAAATTATCATCAACCATCATGACCGTTTGAATGCGTGCATTCATAACTTGACGTACGCGCGCTAAGCAGGAACCAATTCTTACACAACTAGTATTTGACTACTTCACTCAAAAAATTTGTGCAATCCCTTGGATATACAGCTTTGAAAAATTTGTGAGCACTGATTAAAAAATAGCACGCCATCATGTTCCTTCTCAGGGAGGGTTTTTCTTTTCCCCTTTTTTTAGCGTTTATATGGATACACCCGTTTTCAAAAACGCTACAATTTGAAAATATACATGAAGTATACACATCATATATTTTTTTCAAATTGCAACATTTTTGAAACATTATATATAATATATATATATACATCTAAGTGAAAGAATCAAAGAGGACGCATCGATTCTCTGTTACTATAAGTTTCGCGCCTAAGCGCTCGTCTGACAGAAAGTTCTGTCTGACGAGCGCTTAGGCGCGAAACTCATAGTAACAGAGAATCGATGCGTCCTCTTTGATTCTTTCACTTATATATACTCAGCTCTGCTACCACAGCATTGACAGCATTGAGCACTTTATGCCAAGGTAGACTCTACGCCACATTTATATGCATATATTCTACGGTGTTCCACTCTGTTTCCATTGTTCCATTATTGTAAATGTGAGAGCAATACGACACCCTCTCTCTGATACAATCCACACAACCACAACAATCTCTGGTGTAAAATGGAATGAGCAAATGATATTATTTTTTTTTCTTAAAAGTCTCAGATTGTAAACGTGTGGTAATCATACTCTGTATTTTCTGTCAGTGTCAGTGCAGATATTCCCTGGTCCCGTGTGCATATTCTCTCGTTGAAAACAAATTAATTTCATTCACTGCGTTCATTCTCCAACAGTTGTTTACTATGCTTCCTCGCTATTTGTTGACCCACACTTTCGTTAACAATTCATTATTAATCATTCATTGATACATACGTCAGTTTCTTTATAGGTTACATTCAATTTACAGTTTGTAGGTGTAATACAAGTAGTTGTCTTACTTTCATTTTGTTTTTTCTTTGTTCACTTTGTTTAGTCGCACAGAATATCATAGGAAGAGCGCCACACATTATAAATGGGACAAAGGTGGAAGTTTCCTACCAAACATTCACGGAAGAGTTCCAGCCTGAGGAAAGATCAGTAAATAAGGTTAAGTTCCCTTCTTAACCTTCATAAAGCTTACAACAAGCACCGTTTAGTCCAAAGGTTGACCATGGATTCTCACAGCATGACCTCAAATATAACTTAAAATAACAAGCCTAAGCCGGCTCTAAAGGAATTTTTCAGATTTTCTTGGTATATTGGCCATAAGTTGCAAAGAGTCGCCCCAAGAATATTATATACAAATTCATATTTCAACATATGAGGCATGTAGGTCTTTGCTCACATGTATTTCTCATGCTCTTCCAGACCTGTATTGTCATTGTTCGTGGTCTACCTCAGGATTCAACGGAAGACACTGTTTTGAATTACTTTGAGAACTCAAAGCGTTCGAAAGGCGGCGCCGTTGAAGAAGTGAAAATCGAAGGCAATGTAGCACGAGTGAAGTTTGAGTCATCTGAAGGTAATCTAAACAATATAATGACCTTTTTAAGATCGATTTTATTTTCGCATAGAGCGGAGCACGTATTAAACAATTATTCCATGATCCATGGATATGAGACGATAGATAGCTGAGGAGTTGACTTTAATCATCTCATATTCAACAAGCACGAGTGGAATGATTGATATGTTAATATAGCCCCAAATTATAGACCAATCTTCCCAACTTTATTTTGTAAGAACAAAAGGAATGTTTCAGTGCGCGAAATTTTTTTTGGTTCCGTTTTAATTTTGACACGTACACTTATGATGGCTAAGCCAATAAAAACTCTTGAATTGCATTACCTAATGATCCATATTTTGATAATTAACCATTATTCCATGATCGCGCGTTGGATATGAGATGGTAAATAGCCAACGAGGCAAGTGGCACCGAGTTGGCCATAACCAATCCCGTATCCAATAAGTGTGAATGAAAAAATTGTTGTATCAAATTTCATAAAATCCTGAACGTTCGGATATTCCGAGCTCTTTTCAGCTCTGCAAAAGTTGACGCAATGCATTTTCATATAAGCTGACTCTGAATATGAGCTGATAACTGGAGTCGAGTGATCCAATCAGAACACTAGAAATGCAATATTCGGAGTTGAAAATTTAATAATAGTCGTTATAACCCATCTATTAATTTCAAGCGATTCTATCGGCCACTTTACACCACGTGGTGCAAAATCAATGACAGTTATATCGCAATAATCCTTGTTTACGTCAATATTTTCCTCTGATTTTTCCGTCGAAAACAAACAGGCCAGCGAGGAAAATCCAGCACAATAGTTTCGCTTTTTCGTCTTTATTACTTTGCACTGCAGAGAAACGTACTCGTTTTATGGAGTAGAGTGATAGTAATATTACTAAAAAAAGCCGATCTCAAATGCTCCTTCGGAAAGTACAAAAAAGTCAACAAATTTGTTGTCAACGCGATACGAAAATAAGTGAAGGTGATGTCCTTGGCTGGGAGACTGTCCTCGAAATTTCACATTTTCCTTACAAATTTCCGGCTCCCCGGCCGGATATACATCTTTCGGAAAACATCTCTGCCGTAGACATTATAAGCCGAAATACAAGCCGCCTCTAGGGGTTTATATACTAATTACTATTTGTAGATCACTAGTATATTGTTGTTGTTGTTTCTCAGTGTTTTTGTAGTGCTTGTTCCTATCGGATAAACACCTTAGCTACTACATAATCTTTATTCTATTGGTTAGCACACCCTTGACCGCAGTCACGTGATTTATGGTATTCTAATAAAGCAGTTGTGTAGAGCACTTAGCCTGTGCACGCGTTACACTATAGTAGTATATAACGAGCCCAAATATACAACATTTTTAAACACTAATCTCATTTTGTGTTCTCGGCAGTGGCACAAAGTGTTATCAAGCATGATCAGCATATCCTGAATGGTGCTACACTTCATGTCAGTCTCGAATTGCTTGATAATGCTGAAAATACAAGCAAAACTATCCAGATAACTGGCCTTACTGCGCAGAGTACTGAAGACTCCATTCGCAACTACTTTGAAAATGAGAGACGTTCTGGGGGTGGAGAGGTAGAAGTTGTTATTTTTCGGCCGGAAGAAAATGTGGCCTTTGTGACTTTCAAAGATGTTGATGGTAAGTCGTTTGGTACAAGTTACATTTTGCTTTTAAATCTAGTAAGGGCTGCTCTTATCATACATTAGAAAAGATGAAGAACTAGCGTATTTATTCAGCACAATTCCGCGTTGGTTCTGTTACATTGCGAACAATCTGGCTGTGTCCTTCTTTAAAGTGGTGTGAGTCACAACCAATGGTACTTCAGTAAAGCCAGTGCATTGCTTTGTATGTTTGTTTCAAGTTAGGCTCCCACTACTTCTCCACCCATTTAATGGAAGCCTCCCAACTTGAAGTGGATGAGTGGTTCCTCCCAGTTCTTAAATGTTATTATGTTCAGATTAACCAGGAAAGATGAAACATTCTTCTTGTCTAATAGTGAGAGGTGATGCATGTCTTGTCGCAAGTATGGGACCAAGAAAAAATCTTGAGTCCCTGAGGAATCTCTCTGCAGATCCTTGGATTTCTCGCTTCGATGAAAAGCAATTGAACTTATTTCCATATTGATAACAATCCAGCAATCCTATCCTTTCAGTGATCAACCCATCAATTGGTTCATATCTTTATGATTTTGATTTTAAGAAAAAAAACCTTATTGTTTGATCTATTTTGTTCCTTTCATTCCACTTCATTTGGTTAAACATTGTAATTTTTGTTAATTGTTTGACAGTTGCAAAGAAGGTCATAGGTAGAACACACACTTTGAATGGAACAACAGTGGAAGTCTCATGCCATTCAATCATTGACGAGTTCCAGGCTAAGGGCGGATCAGAAAATCAGGTTAGACCTACAGTTTAACCATTTAAACTTTATACTGTGTTTCCTTTCGCGCCGAGCATTAGTTAGTCGAAAAGTTTCCTTTTGATAACGCCAGGCATGAATTCATTCGAGCATACATTGCACAATGTCAAAGCTTCAATGTCTAAAAGTGGTGTATTTGATGGTCCTGTAAACCTTTCCTTGAAAGAGTAAATTAATCTCTGAAAATATCGTTCCTACAGTTAAAAACATCGTTTCTTTTCTGTTATTTTTGCTTTTGTCTTTGTACCGAAATTTTATATTATTTTCTCATGAAAATGTTCGTTCCGTCACATGTATCTCTCGTGCTCTTGCAGACCGGTGTTGTTCTCGCTCAAGGACTACCTCAAAATGCAACGGAAGACACGGTTTTGAATTACTTCGAGAACTCGGGACGGTCGGGGGGCGGCGCTGTTGAAGAAGTGAAAATCAAAGGCACTGAAGCACGAGTGCTGTTTGAGTCATCTGAAGGTAACTTTATAACATGTGTAGCTGGCGTTTGGCATTTTAGTCCGCGAGAGGTCTGAAAAGGTTCGTGCCGTGCCTCTAAAATAATTATTCATTGGGCAATGCTACCAACTGAGCTACAGAGCCTCATGTTAAGAGGGAGCCTGCTGTTTTGTAAAAGGTCTCTGACCGCAATTATGATAAATGACGTTTTCACTTGCGGATGATATACAGGAAGTGAAATATGTTAATACGTGGAGACTCACTAACGAGAACAAAGAACCCACCTAAATTTGCCTCGCTCCTAAGATGAGGCTGCATAGCTTAGTTATTTTATACTCCCAACTACCCCAAAGAGAATACTGCGCGAACGTCATGTAAGCCTGGTTGTTTCAAGTTTATCTTTCTGTCATTTCGTCTTTTTCGAGGGTCAATTTTTCATTTTTTAATTAGATTTTACATTACAATTACATTTTTTAATTTCATTTTTTAATTACCCCCAGGTGTATATATATATATATATATATATATATAATATTAACTTCTTTTATTTGATATAATAACTGTTCCTAAAAGAAAATGGTCCTGAGAATTTTGGGGCGACATTTCTTTACACTTGTAACCGCTTAAAAAATTATACGGTCATGTGCCAGCTGAAGGGAATATTATTTTAGGTCATTTAACTTAAAAGTATATACTTCCTTCTCTTTCGAGGCCAAAGGTCAGGGTGTTATTCTCTACAACTGAGCACGTATCAGTCCTTATCATTTTTAGATAAAGAAAATATAGTTGATGTTGTTTTTGGTTTTGCTGTTGTTGCTCTTGCTCTTGCTCTTGCTCTTGCTCTTGCTCTCGCTGAAGAAATATTTAATCTCTAAGATTTCAAGGATCGTCATCTTAATGCTTTTTCTTTGTAGTGGCACAAAGTGTTGTCAAGCATGATCAGCATATCCTGAATGGTGCTACACCTCATGCCAGTTTCGAATTGCTTGACAATGCTGAAAATACAAGCAAAACCATCCAGATAATTGGCCTTACTGCGCAAAGCACTGAAGACTCCATTCGCAACTACTTTGAAAATGAGAGACGTTCTGGGGGTGGAGAGGTAGAAGCTGTGACTTTTCTGCCGGAAGAAAATGTGGCTCTTGTGACTTTCAAAGATGTTGAGGGTGAGTTTTTAACTGTAAGCTCGTGTAGTTATTTTTTTTTTTTTTTGCGTTTTTCAGTCAAACGGGGGTAAGTGCGGGGCGCACGCAAAGTGCGAGTTAGGCGCGAGGGCAGAAGGGCAAAAAAATTAGCGCTTCTGACCCCCACGAGGGAATCTTACTGCAGATGCTTGGATTTCTCCGCTGGATGATCTGCAATTGAACTTATTTCCACATTGATGACAATCCAGCATTCCTATCCGTTAGGTGATTGATCAATTATAATTGCTCCAATTTTTTATGAGTTTCGTTTTTGGAAAAAAAGATTAATTATTGTACGTTCTGTAAAATGTTTCTCTTTTTTCTTTTTTCTTAATTGTTTGACAGTTGCAAAGAAAGTCTTAGGTAGAACACACACTTTAAATGGAACAACAGTGGAAGTCTCACGCCATTCAATCACTGACAAGTTCCAGGCTAAGGACGGATCAGGAGATCAGGTCAGACCCACAACTGAACCTTTTAAACTGCCTACTGTGTTTCATCTCGCATCAAGCATCCCTGAGTCGAAAAGTTTCTTTCAGTCACTCATAGCATAAATCCACTGGTGCGTACATTGTACAATTTCAAGGCTTTAACTTCTAACAGCGGTCTATTGATGTTCTTTGTAAACATTTTTCTGCCAGGATCAAGCTTAGTTGGGATAATATCGCCCTTACTGTTAAACACATTGTCTTCGTTTCTTATCCTTGCGTCTGTCTTTGCGGTGAAATTTTATTTGAATTTCTGGAGAAAATATTTCGTCTGTCTCGTGTATCTCTCATGCTCTTGCAGTCCCGTGTTGTCATCGTTCAAGGACTACCTCAAAATGCAACGGAAGACACTGTTTTAAATTACTTTGAGAACTCGAGGCGGTCGGGAGGTGGCGTTGTTGAAGAAGTAAAACTCAAAGGCAATGAAGCACGAGTTCTGTTTGAGTCATCTGAAGGTAACTGCAAAGCATTCAGAGCTGTCTGATAAGGCTTCCTCGCTCAGTTGTTTCTTGTGCCCAGCTACTAGCAAGTAGAATTGGGTTCGAACCCCATCAAAGCCGAATTGTTTCAAGCTCGTTTTTCTGTGATATCCTCATTTTCGAGGATCATTTTATGTTCAATTATCCCAGGCCATATACGTCACATGTATAATGTTAATTCGATTTTATAATCTTTTTTGCTAAAAGAAAATGGTTATGAGATCTTTAGGGACGACATTTTTTTGACACCTGGCGTAAACAATCATGCGACTATGTGTCAGATGAAAAGAAGACGTTTTTCAAGCTCGGCTAATTTTAAATTGTAGTCTTCTGTCTCTTTCCAAGCCCTATTCAAATTGTTAGGTTTTTATTCTCTAAATCTGAGCACGTATCATTCGAAGTCATTTCTACATAAAGAGAATATAGTTGATGTTGTTGTTATTGTTGTTGTTGTTTCCCTAACTGGAGAAAAAAATTACACTCTAAAATCTCGTAAATACTGACCTCACTACTTGTTCTTTGTAGTAGCTCAAAGTGTGATAAAGCATGATCAGCATATCCTGAATGGTGCTACACTTCATGTCAGTCTGGAGTTGCTCGATAATGCTGAAAATACAAGCAAAACTATCCAGATAACTGGCCTTACTGCGCAAAGCACTGAAGACTCCATTCGCAACTACTTTGAAAATGAGAGACGTTCTGGGGGTGGAGAGGTAGAAGCTGTGACTTTTCGGCCGGAAGAAAATATGGCTCTCGTGACTTTCAAAGATGTTGAGGGTGAGTTTTTTACTGTTAGCCTGCAGAACAGGTGTAATTTTTTTACGTTTTTCAATCAAACGAAGATAAGTGAGAAGCGTGCGCGAAGTGCGAAGAATGCACAAGGTCAGAAAAGCAAAAAAATTAACGCTTCTTACCCCCAGGAGGGAATCTTACTGCAGATGCTTGGATTTCCCCGATGGATGATCTGCAATTGAACTTATCTCCACATTGATGACAATCCAGCATTCCTATCCGTTAGGTGATTGATCAATCAATTGGCCCATTTTTTTATGAGTTTCATCTTTAGAAAAAATATATATTTCTTGTAAGTTCTGTGTTAAGTTTCGTTTTTTTCTTTTTCTCTTATTTATTCAGTAATTCATTAAACTTTTCTTAACTGTTTGACAGTTGCAAAGAAGGTCTCAGGTAGAACACACACTTTAAGTGGAACAACAGTGGAAGTCTCACGCCATTCAATCACTGACGAGTTCCAGGCTAAGGACGGATCAGGAGATCAGGTCAGACCCTGAACTGAACCCTTTAAACTGCCTACAATGTTTCATCTCGCATCAAGCATCCCTGAGTCAAAAAGCTTCTTTAAGTCACTCATAGCATAAATTCACTCGTGCGTACATTGCACAATTTCAAGACTTTAACTTCTAACAGCGGTATATCGATGTTCTTTGTAAACCTTTTTCCTGCCAGGATCAAACTTAGTTGGGATAATATCGCCCTTACTGTTAAACACATTTTTCTTGTTTCTTATCCTTGCGTCTGTCGTTGTGGTGAAATTTTATTTGACTTTCTGAAGAAAATATTTGGTCTGTCTCATGTATCTCTCGTGCTCTTGCAGTCCCGTGTTGTTTTCGTTCAAGGACTACCTCAAAATGCAACGGAAGATACTGTTTTGAATTACTTTGAGAACTCGAGGCGGTCGGGAGGTGGCGCTGTTGAAGAAGTGAAAATCAAAGGCAATGTAGCACGAGTTCTGTTTGAGTCATCTGAAGGTAACTGCATAGCATTCATAGCTGTCTGATAAGGCTTCGTCCCTTAGTTGTTTCTTGTGTCCAACTGCTAGCAAGGAGAATTGAGTTCGAGCCCCATTAAAGCCTGAATTGTGTCAAGCTTGTTTTTTCTGTAATTTCGCCATTTTCGAGGATCATTTTATAATGTTCAATTATTCCAGGCCATATACGTCATATGTATAATGCTAATTCGATTCTATAATCACTTTTACTGAATGGAAATGGTTGTGACATCTTCACGGACGACAGTTTTTTTGACACCTGGCGTAAACAATCATGCGATTATGTGTAAGATGAAAGAAGACGTTTTTCAAGCTCAGCTTATTTTAAATTATAGTTTTCTGTCTCTTTCGAAGCCCTATTGAATTTGTTAAGCTTTTATTCTCTAAATCTGAGCACGTATCATTCGTTGTCATTTCTACATGAACAAAATACAGTTAATGCTGTTGTTATTGTTGTTGTTGTTGTCCTTGCTGGAAAAAAATTACACTCTAAGATTTCGTAAATACTGACCTCACCACTTGTTCTTTTTAGTGGCTCAAAGTGTTGTAAAGCATGATCAGCATATCCTGAATGGTGCTACACTTCATGTCCGTCTGGAGTTGCTCGATAATGCTGAAAATACAAGCAAAACTATCCAGATAACTGGCCTTACTGCGCAAAGCACTATAGACTCCATTCGCAACTACTTTGAAAATGAGAGACGTTCTGGGGGTGGAGAGGTAGAAGCTGTGACTTTTCGGCCGGAAGAAAATATGGCTCTCGTGACTTTCAAAGATGTTGAGGGTGAGTTTTTTACTGTTAGCCTGCAGAACAGGTGTAATTTTTTACGTTTTTCAATTAAACGTAGATAAGTGAGGGGCGCGCGCGAAGTGCGAGTTAGGTGCGAGGGCAGAAGGGCAAAAAAGTTAACACTTCTGACCCCCAGGAGGGAATCTTACTGCAGATGCTTGGATTTCTCCGATGGATGATCTGCAATTGAACTTATATCCGCATTGATGACAATCCAGCATTCCTACCCGTTGGGTGATTAATCGATCAATTGGTCCATTTTTTTATGAGTTTCATCTTTAGAAAAAATATATATATTTCTTGCAAATTCTGTAATATGTTTTTTTTTTTCTATTTTCTTTTATTTCTTCAGTAATTCATTAAACTTTTCTTGATTGTTTTGCAGTTGCAAAAAAGGTCTTAGGTAGAACACACACTTTAAGTGGAACAACAGTGGAAGTCTCACGCCATTCAATCACTGACGAGTTCCAGGCTAAGGACGGATCAGGAGATCAGGTCAGACCCTGAACTGAACCCTTTAAACTGCCTACAGTGTTTCATCTCGCATCAAGCATCCCTGAGTCAAAAAGCTTCTTTAAGTCACTCATAGCATAAATTTACTCGTGCGTACATTGCACAATTTCAAGACTTTAACTTCTAACAGCGGTATATCGATGTTCTTTGTAAACCTTTTTCCTGCCAGGATCAAACTTAGTTGGGATAATATCGCCCTTACTGTTAAACACATTTTCCTTGTTTCTTATCCTTGCGTCTGTCGTTGTGGTGAAATTTTATTTGACTTTCTGAAGAAAATATTTGGTCTGTCTCATGTATCTCTCGTGCTCTTGCAGTCCCGTGTTGTTTTCGTTCAAGGACTACCTCAAAATGCAACGGAAGATACTGTTTTGAATTACTTTGAGAACTCGAGGCGGTCGGGAGGTGGCGCTGTTGAAGAAGTGAAAATCAAAGGCAATGTAGCACGAGTTCTGTTTGAGTCATCTGAAGGTAACTGCATAGCATTCATAGCTGTCTGATAAGGCTTCGTCCCTTAGTTGTTTCTTGTGTCCAACTGCTAGCAAGGAGAATTGAGTTCGAGCCCCATTAAAGCCTGAATTGTGTCAAGCTTGTTTTTTCTGTAATTTCGCCATTTTCGAGGATCATTTTATAATGTTCAATTATCCCAGGCCATATACGTCACATGTATAATGTTAATTCGATTTTATAATCACTTTTGCTGAATGGAAATGGTTATGAGATCTTTACGGACGACAGTTTTTTGACACCTGGCGTAAACAATCATGCGATTATGTGTCAGATGAAAAGAAGACGTTTTTCAAGCTCAGGTAATTTTAAATTGTAGTCTTCTGTCTCTTTCCAAGCCCTATTAAATTTGTTAGGCTTTTATTCTCTAAATCTGAGCACGTATCATTCGTTGTCATTTGTACATAAAGAGAATAAAGTTGATATTGTTATTATTGTTGTTGTTGTTGTCCTTGCTTGAGAAAAAATTATACTCTAAATATTTCGTAAATACTGACCTAACTACTTGTTCTTTGTAGTGGCTCAAAGCGTTTTAAAGCATGATCGGCATATCCTGAATGGTGCTACCCTCCATGTCAGTCGCGAGTTGCTCGATAATGCTGAAAATACAAGCAAAACTATCCAGATAACTGGCCTTACTGCGCAAAGCACTATAGACTCCATTCGCAACTACTTTGAAAATGAGAGACGTTCTGGGGGTGGAGAGGTAGAAGCTGTGACTTTTCGGCCGGAAGAAAATATGGCTCTCGTGACTTTCAAAGATATTGAGGGTGAGTTTTTTACTGTTAGCCTGCAGAACAGGTGTAATTTTTTTACATTTTTCAGTAAAGGGAAGATAAGTGAGGGGCGTGCGCGAAGTGCAAATTAGGCACGAGGGCAGAAAGGCAAAAAAATTAACGCTTCTTACCCCTGCGAGGGAATCTGACGGCAGACGCTTGGATTTTTCCGATGGATGATCTGCAATTGAACTTATCTCCACATTGATGACAATCCAGCATTCCTATCCGTTAGATGATTGATCAATCAATTGGTCCATTTTTAATGAGTTTCCTCTTTAGAAAAAAATATATTTCTTGTAAGTTCTGTAATATGTTTCTTTTTTTCTTTTCTCTTTTATTCATTCAGTAATTCATTCAACTTTTCTTAATTGTTTGGCAGTTGCAAAGAAGGTCTTAAATAGAACACACACTTTAAATGGAAAAACAGTGGAAGTCTCACGCCATTCAATAACTGATGAGTTCCACACTAAGGACGGATCAGGAGATCAGGTCAGACCCACAACTGAACCCTTTAAACTGCCTACAGTGTTTCATCTCGCATCAAGCATCCCTGAGCCAAAAAGCTTCTTTAAGTCACTCATAGGATAAATTCACTCGTGCGTACATTGCACAATTTCAAGACTTTAACTACTAACAGCGGTATATTGATGTTCTTTGTAAACCTTTTTCCTGCCAGGATCAAGCTTGGTTGAGATAATATCGCCCTTACTGTTAAACACATTTTCCTCGTTTCTTATCCTTGCGTCTGTCTTTGCGGTGAAATTTTATTTGACTTTCTGAAGAAAATGTTTGGTCTGTCTCATGTATCTCTCATATTCTTGCAGACCCGTGTTGTCCTCGTTCAAGGACTACCTCAAAATTCAACGGAAGACACTGTTTGGAATTACTTTGAGAACTCGAGGCGGTCGGGAGGTGGCGTTGTTGAAGAAGTGAAAATCAAAGGCAATGAAGCACGAGTTCTGTTTGAGTCATCTAAAGGTAACTGCATAACATTCAGAGCTGTCTAATAGGGCTTCGTCGTTCAGTTGTTTCCTGTGTCCAACTGCTAGCAAGGAGAATTGGGTTCGAACCCCATCAAAGCCTAAATTGTTTCAATCTTATTTTTTCTGTGATTTTGTCATTTTCGAGGATCATTTTGTAATGTTCAATTATCCCAGGCCATATACGTCACATGTATAACATTAATTCGATTTTATAATCACTTTTGCTGAATGGAAATGGTTATGAGATCTTTAGGGACGACATTTTTTTGACACCTGGCGTAAACAATCATGCGACTATGTGTAAGATGAAAAGAAGACGTTTTTCAAGTAATTTTAAATTGTAGTCTTCTGTCTCTTTCCAAGCCCTATTGAATTTGTTAGGTTTTTATTCTCTAAATCTGAGCACCTATCATTCGTAGTCATTTATACATAAAGAGAATATAGTTGATGTTGTTGTTATTGTTGTTGTTGTTGTTGCCCTTGCTGGAGAAAAAAAATTACACTCTAAACTTTCGTAGATACTGACCTAACTACTTGTTCTTTGAAGTGGCTCAAAGTGTTGTAAGGCATGATCAGCATATCCTGAATGGTGCTACACTTCATGTCAGTCTCGAGTTGCTCAATAATGCTGAAAATACAAGCAAAACCATCCAGATAACTGGCCTTCCTGCGCAAAGCACTGAAGACTCCATTCGCAACTACTTTGAAAATGAGAGACGTTCTGGGGGTGGAGAGGTAGAAGCTGTGACTTTTCGGCCGGAAGAAAATATGGCTCTCGTGACTTTCAAAGATGTTGGTGGTAAGTCGTTAAGTACAAGTTACATTTGCTTTTGAAATCTGATAAGGGCTGCTATTTGATATCTTACATAAAGGTAAGATAAAAAATTATCACTTATTGCCATTGTCCACAATTCCTTCCAAGTTATGTAAAATTGCTGATGATCTCGTCCCATCCTCGTTTAGTTTCCCTCTTCTTCCCTCCCCCTTCCCACTTCCCCTTACCCCTTCCCCTTCCCCTTCCCCTGCCCCCTCCCCTTTCCCCATACCCCTTCCCCCTTCCTCTACCCCCCTTCTCCCCTTCCCCCCCAAAGTCTCCCAACCTGAAAAGCTCTCTTATGCATTTCTAATGACTGACTCATAGTGATTCTTTTTACTATAAGACACGGTAAATTCGTCGTGATTACAGATTGTGTTTGAGTGGCCTAGGAAAGAAAGCAAGATCCTTCTTCGAGTAATGAAAGATGGTATATATCTTGTCATGCACTAGAATAGTACAAAGAAAAACAATGAATCAGATAACTTTTTTCTATATTGATGACAATTCAGCAGTCCTTTCCTTTCAGTAATCAATCCATCAATTGGTTCATTTCTTTATGAGCTTCGTTACCTACTTTTTTTTTAATTGTTTTGGCAGTTGCAGAGAAGGTCTTAGGTAGAACACACACTTTAAATGGAACAACAGTGGAAGTCTCACACCATTCAATCACTGACGAATTCCAGGCTAAGGATGGATCAGGAGATCAGGTCAGACCCTCAGCTGAATCCTTAAGACTTTTTACTGTGTTTCATTTCGCATAAAGCATTACTGAGTCGAAAAGTTTCTTTAAGTCATTCATAGCATAAATTCACTCGTGCGTACACTGCACAATATCACAGCTTCAAATTCTTATATCGGTATATTTGATATTCCTTGTAAACCTTTTCCAGCAAAGATTAATCTTATAATTATGGAGAATAACACTCTCACAGTTCAATACAACAGTTTGTGTCTAATTCTAGCTTTTGTCTTAGTACTGTAATTTCATTTCATTTTCTCAAGAAAGTATTTGTTCTGTCTCATGTATCTCTCGTGCTCTTGCAGACTCGTGTTGTCTTCGTTCAAGGACTACCTCAAAATGCAACGGAAGACACTGTTTTGAATTACTTTGAGAACTCAAGGCGGTCGGGAGGCGGCGCTGTTGAAGAAGTAAAGATCAAAGGCAACGTAGCACGAGTGCGCTTTGAGTCATCTGAAGGTAACTGTCTAACATGTTGCTGATGGTTTTGTCTGCGCAAAAGCGAAAGGCAAGGATTTAAATATATGATATTAATTGATTAGCTTCCTATGGTGAAGGAATGATTCTTACACTACAACTGAAGAATTTACAGAAAAACAAAAAAAAATCCGGCTACGATGGGATTTTTGCCATAGCTCACACCACGTAGTTACATGGCACTATTACGAACTGAGCTACATAGCCACACTTTGGGACGTAGACAAATTTCAAAGGCCCTGTTATTTTCGCAAAGTTCTTTGAGCACAATTGAATTAAATCACATTTTCATTTTCGGGTGATATAAGTTATTACGTGGAGATTCATTAACGAGAACGAAGAAACCTGTAAAACTTGCCTCGCTCCCAAGATGAGGCTACGTACCTCTGTTGTTTATAGCGCCCAAGGAGGAAAGGGCTCCAACCCCGTTAAAGCCTGAATTGTTTCAAGCTTTTTTTTTCTGTTATTGGGAATTTCAAAGAATCATTTCGTCATTATGAAATCATCCTAGTTCATATATATGATAATTACTTTTAATTAATTTGATGGTACTGAGATATTAGGGTGACATTTCCTTAAAGTAGGCATAAACCCGATCATGTGATCACTTGCCGGGAGAAAAAGAGACTCTTTTCAAGCTTACTTAATTTCAAATTTTACATTATTTCTCTTCCGAGGCCATAATAAATTGCTTAGGTTATTATTCTCTACTTCTGAGCACGAATCAGCGGTTATCATTTATAGATAAAGAGTACAGTCGAACCTGTACTAAGCAGCATTGTATTAAGCAGACCCTGTATAAAGCGGTCGGTTTTCAAAGTCTCAATATGTATTCCTGCTATTTTCACCTCTATTAAGCGGTCACGTATATTATGCGGTCATGGTAACCGATGACTGAGTATCAACGGCCTGTTTGCATTATCCTTCACTCAAGCTCTCGTATTTTGTTTCCTTTTATTTCCTTCATTAAGGTTGTCTGTTTCAATTTTTCTTAATTGTTTGGCAGTTGCAAAGAAGGTCATAGGTAAAACACACACTTTAAATGGAAAAAAAGTGGAAGTTTCATACCATTCAATCACTGACGAGTTCCAGGCTAAGGAAGGATCAGAAAACCAGGTCAGACCCACAGTTTAACCTTTTAAACTTTTTACTTTGTTTCATTTCGCGTTAAACATTACTCAGTCGAATAGTTTCTTTTTGGTCACTCCTAGCAGGAGTCACTCCCGTATACACTGCACAATTTCAAAGCTTCAAATTCTTTATGCAGTGTCTTTGATATTACCTGCAAACTTTTTGTTCGAAAAATGTCTCTCTTACAAATAAACACATCGTTCTTGTTCTTACTCTTGCATTTGTCGTTGTACCGATTTCTCATTTGATTTTCTTACGAAAATGTAAGGTTAGTCAAATGTATCTCTTGTGATCTTGCAGACTCGTGTTGTCTTCGTTCAAGGACTACCTCAAAATGCAACGGAAGACACTGTTTTAAATTACTTTGAGAACTCGAGGCGGTCGGGAGGTGGCGCTGTAGAAGAAGTGAAAATCAAAGGCAATGTAGCACGAGTACAGTTCGAGTCATCGGAAGGTAACAGTATAGCACGCGCAGCTGACAGTTTTGTCCGCGTGAGAGTGACGAGAGGCGAGTCCGCGAGAGGCTTGGAACGAAAGACTTTGGTGACATTTTTGTTCTTCTCGCGGCCTCCCCGCTCATCACTTAGTACATTTTTCAGAATTTTATTATTTAAGTCTAAGCACGTATTAGTAGTTGTTATCGTTTGTAGATAAAGAGTATGTAGTTGATGATGTTGCTGCTCCTGCTCTTTTTGTTGCCAAAGAACAATTTACAATCTAAGATTTCAAAAATACTGATCTTATTTCTTATAGTTGCACAAAGAGTTGTCAAGCACGATCAGCATATCCTGAATGGTGCCACACTTCATGTCAGTCTCGAGTTGCTCAATAATGCTGAAAATACAAGCAAAACCATCCAGATAACTGACCTTACTGCGCAAAGCACTGAAGACTCCATTCGCAACTACTTTGAAAATGAGAGACGTTCTGGGGGTGGAGAGGTAGAAGCTGTGACTTTTCGGCCGGAAGAAAATGTGGCATTCGTGACTTTCAAAGATTTTGAAGGTAAGTAGTTTCGCGTAAGTTGCACTTTGTTCTGAATTCTAATGAGGTAGGATGAAGCCATCTCTAACAACATTTTAAATATTTGACAAAGTTCCCTCTTGGCTCTATTACATTCCTCATTTAGCGATCCTGCGACAACTGCTTGAGATACATGTACAACTCAATAAGTGTTCAATTAGGCCAAGATATTGTGATACTTCTTCATCATCTTGCATTTCTAAGTATGGATTATGAATCCTGAAACAGTTTTCCTTGCTCTGATAAGCAATTGTTACATTTTGTCACGTTTCAAGCTGCAAAAGGTGTGTTACTTCGCGACAAGCACATCCTCGAGGGAGCCATACTGCTTGTGAAACCCTCCAACACAGCAGCTGACACGCTCGACACAGCAGGAATACAAGAATCACGAACAATAAAGGTTACGGGACTTGCTGCGAAAACAACTAAAGATGCAATTTTGAAATTCTTCGAAGACCAAACGCGCTCTGGGGGAGGAGAGATAGAGGGCGTTGTTCATACTCCCGACCGAGGAATCGCTATCATTACTTTTACATCGGCCGAAAGTGAGTATGGAAAATTTTCAAGTATTTGACTTAGAATTTACAGACGTAAGATTGTTCGATGATGATTGAAATTTGTTACTTTGAAAGCAACGAAAAGTACCCTGAGACAAGGCAGGCATACCCTTGACGGAGCCACACTGAATGTCATGATCACAGCGCGTAGCCCTGAAGTTGAGCCACATAACGATGGAGTATCTCAAGAATCTCGCACCATTGAGGTGACTGGAATTAGTGCGAAAACAACTAGAGAGGCTATTTTAAACTTCTTCGAGAACAAAAAGCGTTCCGGGGGAGGTGAAGTAGAAAATGTCGATCATGATTCAGACCAGGGGACAGCTGTTATTACCTTTACCACGGCCGAAAGTAAGTCCAGATATACTGTCATATACCTACGTATAGTCTCGCCCTCGTCCAGCTCTGCTCAAGCAAGATGAGCTAGATGAAATCGGAGCAACATTTACATATAAACTAACTGATTTTTTCATTTCTAAGTTGCCCCTGATTATACGCCGCTGGGAATGTTGACATCTTCTAGAAAGGATGAAAAAAAAACTGAAATTTTCCTCGTAGTAAACATTTGGTACGAGTTGCTTAAGTTATAAATAAAACTGTTGTGCATTTCGTTTCGCTTTTTCTCTTGTTTGTTTCCTTTGCTTGTTTGTTTGACTCACTCAAATATATTCTTTCTTCTTGCCTGAAGGTGCTCGTGGAGTCTTAAGTAAAAGAAGTCTAACCTATGATGGAGCGAATCTGACAATTACTCTCAAACAACCTCCACGGGAACTGCCTATTGACACTAAAAGACTTTTAGTGAAAGGCCTCAGTGACAAAACAACCCAGGATGCTTTTCAGTGTTACATGGAATTAGTAAGTGGAGTGGATGTCCTGAAAGTCGAGTTTGGAGGTGAAGCATGTGCAGTGGTCACCTTCAATGAGGCCTATGGTAAGTTCAAATTCCCTGCAAGTTAAACCCAAATGACAACTGGAAGGGATAAATTGACTTAAGTTAGCCGTAAATGTGGGATTTAAACAGCGTTTTTATAACTCTATCGTCCCTTGACGTATCATTTATAGTGTTTTATTCACGATCTTTCTCTTAACCGGTAAGTCTAGATCTGTTCAGCCGGTGAATTTATTATGGGATGGAGTCGGCCATGATCTCCATATGGCTGTTTTGGAAAGAAAAATTCTCATGTTATTTTAGATCGCCTTAATAACAGCTAAATAGCTCTCACAGTCGCATTATATTCTTAGAACACAATAAATTTACTTTTTTGTGTCTAGTTTTCGATAAGATAATATTTTTGTGTTCTTCAATACTTGAATACCTATCGTTTCGAAAATACACAGATTATCACACTGTTACAAAGAAAATCTCTGTGAGGCCTCTGGAGGGAAAAACTCTGATAGCAGAACAACTTCCAGTTTGTCACTGCGTACAAGTATCAGGTTTTAACAAGGAAACAACTACTGAGGATACTATACGTTATTACTTCGAGAGTCCAAAGAACAATGGTGGTGACGTAAGCAGTGTGGAGCTCAATCTAGAGGAAGGATGGGCGTTGGTTTTCTTCGAAGACCCAAAAGGTGTGTAACATAACTAACCTTATTGAAGAGAAAGTCAGTTACTGTCAGTTCAATTTGAACTTTTGAAAATGTCCCCATTATCTTTGTCTGGTGTATCAAGAAACGCCTAATGTTCTCAGTCGAACACCAGCCCTCAAGAGAAAACGCGTAGTGTGGGTCTACCAACCTACAGGACATAACACTTCAAAAGCATTTAGTAACGAAGTACTAGCCAGTAACGAATTGATCATACTGGCTAACTGCAATCAGGTTGAAGTCATTAAGTGCTTTCTGGAATGAATATAGGGAGTAAATTTCTAACGAAACCGTGGTGCTGCATTGTTAGGGGAGCATAATAGGATAATTTGGATTAATTTTAATTAAAACTGAGTTGACTGTGTAGATTGGCCGACGTAAAGAATTTCTAAAGCTGATATTTCGAGTGTTAGCCCCTCGTCAGAGTGAATGGAGGAATTGTGGGTTGTGTGTGTCTATATAGCAGAAAATGGAGCTGAGCTATTGGTGAGAATGTGGTAACAAGAGAAGTAAAAATAATTTAGTTGAATGAATATCGTTTGTTGATTCCGTGAGTTTCTCGGCTTTTCAAACTGCCTAGATGTAGGGAAAGGCCGTTGACTGCCATATGCTATTTAAAATGATTTGGGAGATTAAGGAGTCTAGCGACTGTATTGGATGTGTCCTTTTCATTCCTTTCTATGTCGCAAAGGTGTTCTCGAGATCGGTAGCTTGGTTGTCTTCCTGTTTCACCAATGAATACCTATTGCTAAGTGCGAGTTACGCAATGGATGACATTGGCGTAGGTGCACGTAAAATGATCAGCAATTTCAATGGATCGCTTGGGTCTGGATATTTCCTCTACGTTATGAATGAAAGGACAAGTTATGCGTCGTGCGCGCCTGCATTTGAAAGTTCCGGGCTAATCCGGCATTAGTTTGGATTGAACTTCCGACCATAAATGGTGTATGTTTCAATCGTGTTTGAAAGAAATTAGTCGAGGTTTCAAAAATATAGTACCAGTTTCGGTACCATTTTTCGAATGAAATTCGATCGGTATTTTCCTTCTGTGACATTTGTAGTGCTGACTGTCTAAAAATTGCGGCTGAGCTGGGAAGGCGTTTTTGCTACCTCTTATCTTAGTCGTAAATAAAAATATGATTTACTCTTTTAAATATTGCTTTTGATCGGACTTGTTACCAGGGAACAAAGAACCATGAAACTTCACCTTGCTACTGGTGCGTGACCTCATTTCTAAGTTGGTAGAAGTGCCTAAGTATTATCTAAAGGCTAAATCTCCATCGAAGCATTTTTTTCCGAATTATCTTCCTTTCATGACTTCAACAGGAGTTATACTGCGAGGATCAATTTGTTTAATGATATCTTAAACACAGTCCCAAATAATTACGATCTTTAAAGCATATAGCAGTAAGTATATTCCACGACAAAAGCATTAAGCAGTAAGTTTCCCATGTTTTCATATTACCTTAAAAATATCTCGAACATCTATTTCAGTTGTTTCCAATGTTGTGACGGGGAGTCACTTCCTTGGCGGTGCAAAGCTGGATGTCAGTTCTCATTGCTCATTGCTTGGGAAACCTCAACCAGTTGAAAATGATGTTGAATTGATGCAAAATATCAATGTGGATGGAAAGAAAATGCAGTTCATTTTGGAACACTACAAAGCTGATTTGAGAGAGGTTGAGAACAGTCACGATGTTCAGATAACCTGGGATGAGGGCATCAACAGCGTCACGGTCACGCCCAAAGATGAGGCCTTAAGAAACAAGTACAACTTCGATGAGGCATGTGAGGCTATTACTTATTTCCTTGCTGAGTTTGTTGAAAGCTCCACGCGTGTCCCTCCTGAGGCTTGGGATGATGTAGTCGACAACTTCAAGAAAAGTAAAAGCCCAGCACAGCAAAAAGTAAGAATGGATTGTATCGCTGAGCAGCACGTTTTCTTTTTCATCGGGAAGAAGCAAGAAGTTGAGGAAGTTACCAAAGAATTGGAAGGAATAATAGTTGTAATTGATAAAAAGCTTAAGAGAGAGGCATCGAAAATAGAGTGTACAGTCAAAGTTTCATATACGCGCTTGCAATTCTTGAAACATCTCGAATTTGCTCAGGAACTGGAAAGTCGACATGAAGAAGTCGAAGTCACCATTCTCCTTGAAAAGGAAAAGCTTCAAATTCGAAGTCCTCCCGAAACCGTCCATAAGGTGAAAGCAGCCATTTTGGAGGCAGTTGCCAAAATGAAAGACGTGAAGCTGAACATGTCACTGAATGCTCTTGCCTTGCTGAAGAGTACGCCCTGTCAAGTATTCATGAGAGATACGCTCACGGCCAGCAATTTACAAGCCATGATAGCCTTTGACGAAAGAAACGAAAATGTATTAGTGGTGGGGACGGACAGTGATGTCGCAGAGAAAGCTCACGATCTAGTGAAAACCAAGATAGTTGAAGAATGCGTCGACCTGGATGAAGATCAAGTTCAGTTGGAGAAAAGCAGAAAGTGGCATCAGCTGAAAGAAGAGATAACAGAAAAACGCATTTTAACTCTATCATTTGATAGAGGCAATAAGAAGATATGTCTCGTGGGCCTAAAAGAGGATGTTCCGGTTGCTATCGAGGCTGTTAAGCGTTTCCTCGCAGAAAATACCATTGTCAGTACCGTAGTGACGCTTCCAAAGGGTTGTCGCCGATTTCTTGTAAAGTACCGCGAACCGGAACTGCGGCAAATACAAGAAGATTTGAAAGAACACTCCACGCGAATAAAGAGTTTGGCAGATGAAGGTAAACAAGATCTGGTCGTCTCAGGTACGACCTGCGGAGTTGACAAAGCTAAGGAGCTGATTCAAGATCTCGCATCTAAAGTTCAAAGTCAAAAGATGCCTGTCAACAAACCTGGGATGCGTAAAATGCTTGATGGAAGCAAAGGAAAAAAATTACTGGGTATGTTGGAGAATGAAAATAATTGTGTAGTCGAGTATTTTCTACCAAACAAAGGGGACGAAAAGGAAGTGAAAGAAGAAAAGAAAGCAGAAAAGAAGAAGGAGAGTTTGTACGACCTTCTTACTCCGGACGGAAGGAAGATTCTGGTGTTTAAAGACAACATCTGCGATCGCAACGTGGATGTTATTGTTAGTGCTGCTAATTCAAAGCTTCAGCACGTAGGTGGTGTCTCAAAAGCCATATCTGAGAGAGCGGGAGAAGCCTTCAAGGCGGAATGTAATCGGTTTGTCACTGATGCAGGACCAATTTTAGACGGCCAGGTGGCTGTCACGTCTGCAGGAAATCTACCTTTCAAAAAAGTAATTCATGCTGTGGGGCCAAAATGGGAGAAAAAAGCAGCCCAAGAAAAATCAATGGGGAGAACTCCTAGAGAGGAAAAGATTTTAAGCTACGCAGTAACGAATGCCCTAGACGCTGCGAAGGACTATAATTCGGTAGCCATTCCTGCTATTAGTAGCGGAATCTTTGAATTTCCACTTGAACTGTGCGCCAAAATCATGGTAGAATCAATGCTGACTTTTTTCCGAAAAAACCCGAGTTGTCTCCTGTCCGAGATTCAGTTTACTAGTATCGAAGATGGTGTCGTAAAGGCCTTTGCAAAAGAGTTGGATTCCAGATGTCATAACGAACCTAGTTATCAATCATCTTCAGACTCAAAAAGGAAGGGAAAAGAAAGAAAGAAAAAAGGCAAAACCACATCAGTTCCAAATACATCCTTGGCAACAGTTTCTTCCAATACTGCTCCGAATGTTATCAAGACAGCCGAAGGCTTACAGCTGGTTCTTGTCATTGGCGATATGTCTTCTGAAGAGGTAAGGCACGTTATGCTCTTCAAAATCAAATTGATTCTAAAGAGATATCTTTAACAATGGTTCACTGAAGTGGAGATAAATAGTGATGGTCAGTTACCGAGCCGCGAAGCAGTTGTTCAAACATATTTTTGCATTTGTCCTCATTAAGGGCCTGATTCTGATTTATGACAAGAATATCTCTTGCTGGCTTTCTTCAGGTTGATGTTATCGTCAACACAACGTCATCGAACCTGAATCTGAGTGGGAACGCAAGTTCTAAGGCCCTGAGTACCGCTGCAGGCCCCAAGCTGCAAGAAGAGTGTAAAAAGATTGGCCAGGTAAAGACCGGAGAGATTGTGGTTACAAACGGAGCAAATCTAGCGTGTAAGCACGTTTTCCACACCTCATGTCCTGGATGGGAGAAAGGAGAGGGCGAAAAGGTTAGCACAGATATCATCTTTTTTTCTTGCAATGGCAACTTTGATGTCTGCTTATTTCTACTTCCTTACCCGCCTACTTTGACAGAAGAGGCCCATGACCATGCGAAAAAAAATTCAAACATAGAGCACGGTTCAAGTCCCATTATCTTAAAAAAAGAGGCCAAGATAAATATAGTTGAACGAAGAAATAACAGGAATTGTGTTACGGAACGCCTTCGAATTCTTCCATGATTTCATGTGCTATTTCAGCTGCAAAATAATGTGAAATTTAGAAAATTTGCCATCTTTATGATTATCTGTAAGGTACATATACAACGGGCCTTAAACATCTTATTTACAGGTACTGCGGGGTATCCTACAAAAATGTCTCAAAGAAGCACAAAAAAAGAGTCTCTCGACCATTTCCATCCCCGCAATTGGGACTGGGAACCTCAACTTTCCCCGTGATTGCGTGGCTGAAGCTTCCTTTGATGAAGTTTTATCCTTCAGTAAGAAAAATCCAAGCAGCCCTTTGAAGGAAGTCCATTTGGTTGTTTATGATAAGGATTTGCAATCAGTGCAAGCCTTCCAGACCGAACTGCAAAAAAGAAGTGTGGGTCCACCTCCACTGCAACCACCAGCAGCAACAGCAGCTCCGAAAGATGGAAAGAAGAAACGTCGGGGCCTGCGCGGTGGTAGTGACAAAAGATCAGAAATAGATACCCCTGATGGCGTAGATGTTATCTCGGACGAAGAGCCTATATTATTAGATCCCTTGCAACCTGAAATAACGATTGGCAATATTATCGTTCAAGCTGAGACTGGTAACATCACGAAAGAAGTAACTGATGCAATCGCGACCTTGTCGAACAACGAGCTCGATGTCGCACTGGGAGGCGGTGTGGGAAAGGCTATCCTAGCTGCTGGAGGATCAACTATTCAAGCAGAATGCTCAGCTATGGGGCCCCTGAAGCCAGACAGAGTGGTGGCTTCTAAAGCCGGAAATCTACAAGTAAGAAAAATTTACCACATGGTTCCAGATCGGATTTCGAGCATGCGTTCCATAAGTAATTGCATTTTGGAGTGTTTGCGAAAGGCAGACTCGGATGGATTGACCTCGATTTCATTCCCAGCTGTTGGAACAGGAAACGTTAACAAAGATGCCAAAGAGGCTGCAGAGGGGATGATGGCTGCTATTTTCAAGTTTGCTCGAGAGGAACCTGTATCCATTGCTCTTGTTCGCATTGTGATCTATCAGCCCCAAATGTTAAGTGTGTTCCAGACTGCAATGGAAGCGAGCTTGTCCTCAGCAAAAAGTGGAACAGGTTTTCTCTCAAAGCTTGCTGGATGGATTGGATTAGGACAAAGTGGCTCAGCGTCTTCACATTCTATGCCATCAATGCGCACGTTTCGCGGAAAAGCAAAGCCTTTCAGCTACATAGAAATTTTTGCAAGCACCAAGCAAGACACTGACACAGTCATCCAGACAATAGAAAAGGATGCGGCTGATCACTGCACACTGAAAGTAATTGAGCGTGAAGCAATATGTAGTCTTTCAAAGGGGCAAATACAACAAGTAAAGAAATTGGAAGCTAAATACGACGTCATTGTTAACATCGAGCAGACCATAGGTCGCATATCTGTAAGAGGTGATACAGAAGACGTTCTCGATGTAGCCACCACAATTTACGAAGTACTTAACCAGAAGATCGAGGAAGAGCATGCAAGAGGTGTTGGTGAGCTCCTTTCTAAAAACGTACAATGGTTCTTCTATGACAGCGATGATGATGATGAAACCCCAGAGCCTTATGAGCCCAGCATTAATTTGCAGATTGAAGAAGCCTTTGGTGAGGGCAAAGACTCTGTTATTTTATTAATAGATGAAGAAAAATGCGAGATTGTTTACAAGGAGATGAAGGAAACCTGCCTTGACAGTGGAGAAGTGAGAGTCGTTGTTCGGAAAGAGATTGGGAAAGGTACAGTGCAGCTAAACTGAAAAATAATACGTATTTTAGATTTATGGTGTTTAAACTAATGACAAAGCAGTTTTGTAAGTTATTCCATTTGCACATTGAATTGTGCTGACAAGAATGAATCTCAAGTCAAATTAAATCTTTTCAATCAGGTGTTCCATTACCCTTAGAGTGGGATGTGCAGCCAAAGGATGACTCTGGAAAAGAGAAAGAGGTACACCTAGTACTATTAGATCCTAACGCGAGCGAGTACAAAAAGGTAGCAGACAAATTGGGCAAGACGTCCCCCGTTACCATTATCAAGATAGAAAGGGTGCAAAATCCTTCCCTGTACCGCGCATATGTCGTCAGAAGGGAACAGATGGAACTTAAGAATGGCAGCAATGAAAAACTACTCTTCCATGGAACAGCTGGAAACAGCTGCCCCTCCATCAACAAATTCGGTTTCAACAGAAGCTACTGTGGCAAAAATGGTAATTATTAAGTTCATTGTCATTGAAAGTTGTATACTTACATTAATTTTTACATGGTATACTTTGGAGGGTCTGGAAACGTTACAGTGCAACATCATCAACAATATCAACTCAGCTTTGCAACAATGAAATAGCTATATTCTGGCTACCCTAGAAATCCAAGGTCATTTTTTTAAATACATCATATTGCTTTACATACAGGTTCAAAAGAAACCTTTCGGTTTCCTAAAATATAAGTGTTTTGAGGAGTGTTTCTTTTTGGGTACTGATGATAGTTATCCCTTCCACAAAAAAATTATCATCATTTGATTTTCTCAGTTTCCTAAAATGCAATAAATAATTGGAATATGCTTATGACAAACCCATTTTGAGAATCAATTTAGGAGGCCAATTTTTATTTGGAAACGGGTCTATTTTGGCCTTTGGGCCTCCTCCGATCATTGATTTTCATGATTACTCGACTTTGAAAGTTAAAAGAAGCTGTGAAAAATTATTGTTCTGGACACCGCTTGCAAACCTAAGTATTCTTTCATAAGCTTCGAAATTGCATGGAATGTTTCCATGTTACCAGAAAGAAAAAGTGTAGAAATTAAGTGCCTGCAAGAAGGTGGTCGTTGTTGTTAACTTGTTTGTTTCATAATTTTTAGCAACTGTGTATGGAAATGGTGTTTACTTTGCTCGAGATGCATCCTATTCCACACAAAATAAGTATTCACCACCTGATGCGACAGGGCACCGTTGCATGTATCTTGCACGTGTCCTTGCCGGTGAATACACGAAAGGAAGGCAGGGAATGATAACTCCGCCTCCCAAGGGAAGTGACGCCACCGATGTTTATGACACTGTTGTGGATAACCGCACAGATCCAACCATATTCGTTGTGTTCTATGATAACCAGTGTTATCCAGATTATCTTATTACTTTTAAATGATGGAGCAAAGTCGTTAAGAACCTTTTGAATAACCAGTATTGTACCTTTTCATTCGGGGGTAGTGATCTGTTTGTCTTGATTTTGAGAGTGCATCCAGGGGTGAGCCAGGTAGAAGGTTTATAAAGTTCGAACCCCGATTTAGCTCAAACTTAGTGGATACTACGAACAAACAGCTGTTTTAGGTGCTGACCGATAGAGTCATGTTTTAAGGAGGGGAGCGTTGGGATTTTCGGTTTTGCAGTTTAAGCTATTTTTTAAATCGGTTTTTCCGGTTTTTGTGTTCAAAAACTTCGGTTTTTCGGTTTTAATGTTCATTGCAGTTTGCGGATTTTACGTTTTTAGGGATTTGGTTTTCGATATCTTCGACAGCCATTTAGTTCTAAGGCATTCTTTGTCGCAGCATCAAGGTTGTCTTTAAGTGACTTAAAATCTGGAACTGGGGTCCATACTTGACCAAGCAGAGAGCGTAGAAGGACTAGTACTGGGCTGTTATAACGTTTGATTCTTCTGTATACCAACCAAACCGATTCTGAGAACACACTAGTAAGCAATTAAAAGATAACATTGGGGGTATCTTACAATTAACGGTGGTTCATAACAAACAGTTAATTTTTTTATTAGGCACTTTCACATGCAGTTGTCAGTGAACACTCGTGCCAAGTGCAAAGTCATGTACGTCAAATAAAGTTTATTACCAAAACTCTTCTGACAATTTTTTCACGAGCATGCCTTCGCGCTTTGTGTTCTTTTTTAACCATGAAGTAAACATTTTTTGCAAGGAAGCACTATTACTTTTTCATTTTCCATATTGGCTCTTTTCATGGAAAGCAATGTGAACTTCGATAGCAGGAAAAACCAAACTGCGTAAAGGCGTAAGAAAAAGAAAGGTCAAATCCAATGAAATCTCCAAAACCACAAAACATGGTAAATCAGCCGCCAATTATGTATAAAATATGGCCAAGCGGTAGCCAAATGGGTGCGCAAAATCAACTAAAGACGTTACTAAAGATCGCTTACGCGACGCAACAAAATATATCCATAAGTTGTCCTCATCGATTTTAAGACTCTGAGGCCCGTTCATTTCCTGTACATCTGCTCTTTGTTTGTGAGGTCTGACAAAGGTGTATTTTGATCAAAAAACCTCGATGTTTTTAGCATGCGGTCCGACGGAATCTTTCCAATTAGAGCGTTGTCATCGTCGATTTTAAGACTTTGACTTCCTCTTCTTTTCAATCAGGTATTCTTCCGCACATTTAATTTTCGTTTATGCGGTCTTGAAGGGTTTACTTTTATCAAGAATGGAGCCGAAAAGAAAGAAACCCAACCAGATCATTTTAGCCCACAGCCCGACGGCGGACGCCGTTTTGAATTGTGTTGATAATTCCATGTACTCAGGCAAAAATTTTGGCCTTTGTACCACACCCACCAGATATTTGAACAGAGAACAATAACATGAAATTGGGGACAAGAGCAAACTTAGTAGGGGAGTCAGGGGATAACGCGTTTAATTCAATTTTTAATGCTTAAATACGTGGAAGCCTCTTTAGGTCAGGTTTGTTATCGCATGTCTTCCAGTTCAGCTAAGGCCTGAGGAAGAATGACTAAAAGGGCAAGAGCGGTCCGGGAAAAACCGGGCTGGCAAAGCTATAGCCAATCTAAACCGCCAACATTAAATTGAGTTCTTTGTGTTTGATGATAAAGTCAAGGCCATAATCAAATGTAGGGATTTTAGCACGCAATTCAAATAAAGGTGCTTATGCGTTGACCTGTCAACGATACACAGGATCTTTGCTAACTCTCGGACTATTCAATCAAATCAAGTAAATCGAGGTCAAACTCAACGCTCAACTCAGTGTTAGTGCATGTACTTAATCAGTCAGTTTGGTTCTCTGGTGGATTCACATTTTATTCATCAACTACTCATTGTGTCACTCCAGTACAGACGTTAGTCGACAGAGAGGAACAAGATGTAAAGCCTAAGCTAGCTACAATCAAAAGTAATCGAGCAATCGCAACATCTCTTTAAAGTTGGCTCAAAAGAGAGGCAGGAACTAGAATCAATCAGCTCGATATTTTTGGTACCTTACTGCAACTACTCTAAACGCACGATACAGTTCGTTTGCCAGTTCAACGTTTCGCACATGAGGACGTTTTTTATTTAACTCAATGGTTGACAAACCACTTCTGGCCAATTTTGTCGGAGGTATGTCCGCGATCCACATGCTCACCAACGGTCCAGCGAGACATCTCCCTCCAGCCAGTTGTAGACACAATTGTAAACCACCAGTAAGCGTTAGGGCTTATCATAACTTCGTCTGGATCGGGTGCTGACCGCATGCTGACGTGATTGAGAGCTTGAGCAGCCACGTGGTTTCCATCTGGGGACACAGCTAGGTTTTGAGCATTGTACACGTAGCCCCGACATTCATTTCCTTGCACACAGCGTACAGCTGTTCCATCTCTGACTGCCTGCACGAGATCACTTCGGTCTCCGCCAAGGATGTCACCAGTTGGACCGTTTGACAAGACGTGTTTCCAAGACCTGGTGTCAACGAACCACTTCACAGCCAGCTTGTACGTAGAATCTCCGCGATGCTTATGTTCTCCAACGTTGTATCTGGTGGCACGGACGGTTCCAGTGGTGGAAACCATTAGCCAGTACCAGTATGCGTCATCTTGGAACCCAGTCAGTCCTTTCCTGCTTATATGTTTAAGTGCCTGGGCTGTCACATGAGAATTTCGTAAGGACAGATTGTCAGCTTCTGCTGTGTAGTAATTCCATTTTGGTATCTGGAAACGGACACGATGACCAGCCATGAGAGCCGATGTTAGAGCCTGGCGCGATCCTGAGAGGGATGCACCTTTGCTATCGTCGGTGAAGACTTCCTTCCAGCATTCGTCTACAAACCATTCATTTGCCACTGTGTCCTGGTTGTGACCTCGTGACTGATGGATTCCAACGGTCCAACGTGACATGTCGCGCAATCCACGTGTTGTTACTACACTAAACCACCAGTACACGTTACTCTGAAATTGTATCAAATTACCATTCGTTTTGATGCTTATGGAGTCGACATTTTGCCCTGAGACGAAGCTGACACCCTGGCTATTAATCGCGACATTTTGAAGCGGAAAGGCATACTTCTTAGCAGTCACACATCGAATTTCATAGCCACTCTTGGCGCTTTTTACCAGGTGACTCAGGTTACCCTGCACTGAGTTGCCATCGGCCAAGTGGGAGAATGATGGCGTGGGAACGAATGTAGATGTCTGCACATACCACCAGATGCTCACTTTTTTACTGCTGGTTCCACGATGTATGTTTGAGCCAACGTTTTACCTCGTCATTTCCATATTCCCGTTGGTGGACATGATCAGCCACCACCAGTAGGCATTATCTTGAAACTTGTTCCAAGAGGCTTTGCTAACGTGCTGTAGCAGTTGAGCAAACACGTGATGGCCGAGGACATGCACATTATCGGCTTCTGTGCTGTACTTATCAATCACCTCTCGGATTCGAGCCCCCGATAAAATCGCAGAAATCAGCGAAAATTTCGATCCTGAAATCCCATTCCCATTTCCATCGTGGTGGTAGGCCAGTTGCCATTGTAAGGAACATGGCTTACATTCTAACAGAGAAATATTCAAAATGTTAAAACAGATATTAAAAAAAAGACTAAAAGCTAAGCGAAAAAGACTAAAAGCTAAACAGAACAGCTTTTAAGTTATTTCGCATTTATTACATTTTATGTCAGTATATTGCGCTCCCTACCGCCTAGTGAGAAGCAGTCTTGAACAACGTAATTTTTGGGACCAATATGGGGGTGCATATTCAAAACCGACTGGGTGGACAAAATTTGTGGCCCATAGAATTTCCAGGCAAAGAAGTGAGTCAAAAATAGGAAATACGTGAAATTGAAATGTATCTTGAAATAAAAAATGAAATCTTACCTTTCGACGACTCGCCCTCAACCTGGATGTGAAACCAAAATAACAATTTTTTAGTAAATCTATGCCGAAGACTTAAACAATACCTCAAGCTGCACTTGACTCTGCGCAAGTGTATTTGATACGCGTAGGGACGATAACTAATTACAGTGCAATACGGCTCTTGGAAAACAAATGAACTTACCTTTCCATCAGGGAAAAGAAAGATCAGAATACCAAGCGCAAACACAAACCTCATGTCTAAAAAGAATAAAGGTAACCATTAATAATCAACTTATACAAATTTTATAAACTTAGATTGAGTAAGGTGTCTTAACCAAAATGAAAATTACCTTTCAAAAGAATTAACGCAGTTTACTAAATGATTGAGACTGTCATTGCGTTGTATACCGTAAACAGATTCACGAGAGAAAAATATGATTTTTAAGAGTTTACTCGAAATGGATGTGTTTAATGAACAATATTCAAGTTGTCTTCTTTTGAGAGATTGTACTAACCCGGAGGAAATAACAAGGTTAGCCGGCGTAAGAAGGGTCCTGCGTCGTTCTCCAAAAGCTTGAAAAAGCAGCTGAGGTTATTGAGCAACTGAGTTACCTCTTCGTGATACTGATCCTCTTTCGTAAATCTTAATTGCAGCCTGTCAGCTTGGTACAGCTGGAAAAGCAAAGGATAGTGCTCTGTTGCAATAGGGGACTTGAAATATGACGTTTCTGGTCTAAAACTAATATTATTAACTCAGGTGTCTAAACATCTATAAATTGTTGACTTCTTGTTAGACGTGTTGTATATTCAACCAGGTAGAACTGACGATAATTGTATTTCGTTCAAGCTGATTGGCTGCGGATAGAATTTTCCCAAACCACACTTCCAAATAAACCTAATGGAGAACCTAAACGTAGAACTTTGGAGAGAAAAATTGATTTAGCGACGTCCAAATTGCATTTACTTTAAGAATTCACCATCTACGTGTTGTTATATAGATAAGGTAGGTGTAAAGAAGATCTATGAGATACTCATGTTAATTCACGTGCAAACTTAGTCATCCTCAGTCCACAAAGTCTGAAACTAGTCAGGGTTCGTGAAAATCAGCAAATGCGTTCCTCGATTTTAACCATTAATATAGATAAATATTTGTTTCAAACTGAATCAAAATTCACGTTTCTTTTAACGTCTTCATTTTTACAGATTACTTAGGCCAACATAGACAACTTAGGTGTTTTTTTTTCTTGATAATTTAAAAGGCACATAGATAATGATTTAACAGGAAAATGTCTGTCATTTAATATCTTATTCCATTTGTCCACTTTCTATTAGTGTGCATGTTAATTTAAACAAGAATATATTTCAAAGCCCTTCTTCTTAGAATTTAGGAAGCTTTTACGTTTAACAGAAGTAAGCAGCGAGAAACGAAAACACAGCGGGCGTGAGAATATGGTAAAATTGTGCACGGATTAATATCACATGCAAACAAAGTGTTTGCATTGGTTGACAACGACTTTCCCGAGCGTTGGGTTGATATCAGACAGTTTCGTGTATTAAATAAGTGAATCGAATTAAAACAAACCGCGAGATAATTCCTTGGCTTAGATTGTTTTTTTTCCTCAAAATGAGCTCGTATTAGCGTTGTCATTCACACTCTCGTATTCTCGACTAGTCAAAGTAAATAAATGCAACGTTATTGAACTAATTGTTTTCTAGAACAACAGCGAGTAATTTATAAATATTTCGAGTTCGCAGAAGTTGCAGTTATCGTAGCTGGTGTTCAGTTTTAGATATCCCGTAAACAATTAATAAGTAATAATTGTCTCTACCACTCTTGCACAAGCAACAGACAGTTTGATTCATTTAATTTGTGTTTATAAGAGCTAGCTTTCTGATAAGGCCGTTAGGTTCGGGAAATTTAGCCAAAAGTCCTAAGGAAAAGCGTGAGCTAAGATGTCCAGCTTAGTAGTTGAGGAAACTTTAAGATGTTTTTTCACAGAATTGGAACATCCTACATGATTGACATTCAGCTTGATTTCATTTTACTTCGTAATAAGTCTCATGAGTGATTTACGTGGGGTTTGGCACTTAATACTGGGTGCCATTATAAGTGGTTAACGGTTAAAGGTTGCTTTTTTTAGCGCTTCCCCCTACCTTTTTGGCAATTATATTTGATGATTAGACCAATTGATCCTGTATATTCTTAAGGGTACGTTCATTGTTTTTGCAAGATTTTTTGGGCCTCAGTGACATGGGGTCAACTTGATGGATAACGTTTCCATTTCATGGTTGAAGCATCTATCCGTTTCATCGTAGCTGTCATTTCGCTTCCGTTTCGTTTAAGTGTTATTGCCAACGTGTGGTTTAAATATGCATTCTCGAAGTAATGTTTCTGCCAAGTTTCGATCTGATTGGCTGTTTTAAATTGAACTCTAAAAGCGTGCAAGCTGTAATCTATTTTCAGGTCCCTATTAGTTTCCGGTCTAAGTGTTATATTAGACCTTACGTTCTTTAAAGACTGGACGCCATTTCGTGACCCGCATGCTTGCTAATTTTAAATGGTATCTAATGGAAAGTTTTTCCGTTGGATCGACAAGAACAACGAGAGCCGTTTTGAAAGAGATATTACTTAAACTCTTGCTGCTACACTACTAAGAAATGACTGCGGCAAATTATAATTTTCTGTAAGATAAAATTTGTGTCGTACCACTCCACCACTTCAGAGAGAAGAACGATGGGAGACATTTTCAGATGGATGTGGACCTCTTGCCGCTACCCTGTGAAATGATACCCAAAACGACACCGCTCCGTTTCTCCCACTTCGAGAACTTTCGCCGTCGTTAACGTTGTCTCTGAAGTCGTCAAGTAACATGGTAATTTTAGTCATTCCACACTATGGCAGGGATGTGTGAACGTCTCTCCCGTTTCGGACTCTTCAAAAGGAGCAAGCATGCAATCACATAGCCCCTTAGGAAAAATTGAGAAGAGAAAATCTCTCTGAAAATGAGTTCAAATCGCTCTAGTTTCTGAAGTCGCGGAGTAGTATGTCTCAGACAAATCGCATTTAACGGAAAATTATATTTAGGGTCATTTCACATTATATTCACGATAGCGGTAGAAGATTAACATCTCTCTGAGATTTCCCTTTTTGTTCTTGTCTTATACGTTACGGAAAAGCATGAGAGAAATTGATTCTTTTCGGGAGATCAGCAAAATTTGAAAACTGGAAAAAGGCAAAATCGAGGCTATGTTGTGTCAGGATAATTTGAATCATTTCACAACATAGCACTACTGTATCTAAAGTGACTCAGCCTCTTTTGTTCTTATTTCCGTTTGCGTTTTGATTTTTTTTCCGCCGATGGTGGAAATGGTTCTTAATAATTTAGTTTTAGCATTTTGGCGATTATATAGAAATAAAAAGTCACAAACGCGCTCGTTGTCTGAATCGTCACGCGATGCTCCTCACCACTAAGCCACGATACGCCAGGTTAGTGTGTGTTTGGCGAAATGGACGAACGGAGAGACAAGCAAAGGAAAGTTCTGTTTGCAACGTGAAGTACAAGCTATTTGTCTCAAGTTTGAATTGTTATCCACTTGGATGCGCATCTACGTCTCAATCCTTTAGAAAGCTACTAAATCAAGATTTGTATTGCATAATACTGACATAAAAACAGGACTGACAATTACAAAGCAGATGAGACATACCAGACTTGTAAATCAAAGAGGTATGTATCCGTTTCATTTCTCGGTCTCGTCATCATTAACCTTAGTTAGCTTGGCTGGTTTTGGTAGATATGAGATTTGTTAGACCCACGATCAACTCCAATTTTTAATTTGCATAGAAGTTGGAAGGTGCAGGCAGCTTAGTAGAGAGTTGGGATCCATTGATTCCGCTCCCGAAATAGATTATGGGATTGTGATGATCACTACAATTGGCAAATCACAATGAGAAATAAATAACTTCTATCAGCAATATTCTCTTGAGACACATTACTCCTTACTCGTGTTATTTGTAGACACAGTAAAAGGTTGCATGATGGAGTTATTGAGCTATTAACAAGAAATGAAAAAAAACATCACTCCAATGATGACCAGAAAGAATCTGAATTACAGAGACGCAAAAGGAAAAATACTCAGCCATTCAAATTTATGTGAAATGTATCCTGAAGAAATCATCACTTGAGACTTATCATTACTCTAAGGCAACAGTTTATACAATTTTTTCCTCAAACACGACTAGAGAGCAATAGACCTCTTTCGCTTGTGTGTCTTGAGTGGTTACCCATTCCAGGTCTAATGGGAATTCTCAGCTTTACATACATACATACACCCATAATACATACATACACCCATACATACAAATACATACATATATTTTATTTATGCTCGAAATTTACAGTGTAGCTGTAGAGCTAATATCTTCGAGAAAATAAGCTAAAATAAACTAAAATATGCCATATTACAATTCCAATATTATTTATAAACTATATACAACATTATGCATGCAAAGGGAAATATAACTTGTTGATCTATTGTGGAAAAGCTTCATATCGGAGGATCTCCTACTTGAATTCTTGAGAATTTAATGTTTTGTAAGTGTTTGGAGGAGAGTTCCATATTTTGCTAGCTAAGTATGAAAAAGAGTGCAGACCGTAAGTCGTTGTTTTTGGGTTGGGAAGGGCCAGGAT